TTTCGCTCGTGATAAAACCGTTATCTTGCAGCAAACGGAAAAGATCGAGGACCCGGAACCAAGGATGAAGCTTTGAAGACACCACTCCCCCGACAGCAAGTCTGTATTTCCGGAAGAAAGTCCAAGCATCGCTACAAACTGATGATATACGAAAGATTTTTCTGCGGAGACTTTCCCCAAAGGGTTTGGAAAGCTGATCGGCGTAGAGAGACTGCCGTGGGAAACTTTGAAACCATTACGTGCATATCCAACAATTCTGAGACAAAGCTGGAGATCTCGCGACAATTGCAAAGCAACAACAAAAGCTCGCGAATCGGATGTTTGCGCCAAATCCAGATGCGGTGGCTGTGCTTCTGGAAAACACGGTTCTGCTGCTGACATTGCCCAAATGAAGCATGCCTGTCGTTTTCAGGTTCCGTTTGGAAGTATCTTAATTGTCTCAGACAGCTTGCGGAATCGCGATAGCCGAGGAAGGTGTTGTGCGAGGCAAGAGAGTTCTGGGCCGAGCTTGCTTCCCTTGCTGTCAGGGATCGACGAATTGTCATGAATCACAGAAGTCGAGACTTCAAGCATACGACCGAACACTGTAAACCAAAAGCTCGTAATCCAGACGCTTCCAAGTCCGAAGCTCCGTAACGATCAATATCGCTCGCGCCAACAATCGCACGCCCCAAATGTGCAGGAAGTCTGCTCGTTCCAAGCTTGGTCAAAGTTCGGCCACGAGCCCGCAGGAAAGCCTGGAATCCGCCCTGAGCCCCAGCCCCTCTCTTCCGTCGCCACCAAGTTGATTTCCCTGCATGCACATGTGCACGGCAACACGTGCACAAACGGAACGTCTCGTACCCGAGGCTACACGGATGCCATGCTGTCGATTCTCTTCTGTATGCGGAATAAACTGCCCTCCCCCCATGCACTCTTCAACCGATCCTAGCGGCGGGCTGAGTGGTGGAATGAGGATTGTTGGCACGTTGACCTCGAGGCACGGCAGAACAGGCTGCTCAGGTTAAACCCGAGTTCATCTAGCAACGATGTGCAGTGCATCGGCCGGCGTGCTGTGACAGCTACTAGGACAGTACGATCCAAACTGGAGGTGATGGAATCGAAGTCGGAGGAATGCGACGTGTGGTGTTTAAGTTCCTAAGTTCTGTGGTGAATCTTACACACCGCCGAGTCCGTCAGGCCTGCACTCTTGCCAAAGTAGTTGCCTTGCACATGTGGTTCAAGCCTGGCGTGGAATGCGAGACCCTCAACAACCCTGCAAAGCCCTCTTCCAACTCAGACTCCCACTGAAGGCGAGCCAAGTGGCTGCGTAGTCGATACCGTAGGCCTGCAACTCACGGCCCACGGCACCAAAAGGAAGTGCGAGAAGAGCGAAGGACGGCTTCCTGGGTTTGCACGGCTCATCTTGGGGAGTGGCTTTCGAGACTTCTGATGACTTCAGGTGACCTGCCGTTTTGTGTGCCATCTTAGCCATCCTTCGGGAGACGCCCTGCCTGAGCGCAAAAGCAAATGTCAGCCGAGCGACACCTGCCCGCTCTTGAGCACCTTCGCAACGCCGTCTTTCAATGGATCCCAGTAGGGCTTCATCATGTTCTTGACCATGAAAGGCATCTGCAGGGGTGGGCTCTGAACGAAGCGACAGATCGATGGTACCAATTATACGTGCATGTCAATGAACATAACACACACAAAACGCCTGACCCTCCTCCTCCTGCCTGGCGCAGAGTGTTGTTCGACGAAAGCAGCTGCTGCGCAAATTCCTCCTCCTTCGCAGAACGCCCGCAGTTGCCCGGATGCCCTTCCTAGGCTACCCCCAGTTGCAGCCGATGACAGCAATTTCCTTGTCATCACTCACCGGAAGCTCGCCGAGGCTGATGTAATTCAGCTTGCAACTCGAAGCATACTTCGCCACCTTCTGCCGTCCTCAAGCCAGGATTCGGCAGTGTAAATGTGACTTGCATTGAGGCAGCTGGGATGAAAAAACGGAGGGAAACATAGTCTGGAGTCCAAGCTGAGGTGTTACGTCCAACGCTAGCAAAAGAAGGCTTCAATTCGTCCTCGGTCTGCAAAGCTGATGACAGTGACATTGTGCCCCCTGAGGCAGAGCTCCTATATGCATCAAGCTTCTGCCAGGAAGCACTGCCTTCGGAAACAGATGGCTGTTGTGGGCCCTTGATGGCATGAGAAGGTCCTGCCCGATGGAAATGCAGTTGTGGATCGGGGAAAGCGGAACTCCAACAATGAGGAAGTCAAACTTCTCGGCCATGGGACCTGCCAGCTCTGCGGAAAATTCTGAAACCTCTTCCGGATGCACTTCGCCGACGCGGCACACCCTCGAAAAGACTTAGGATGGAGGCCAAGCTTGCAAACCAGCTCGAAACCATCCCTGAACACACCCAAATGCCAAACCCCCAATCCGACACGCTATGCCTCCAAGCCGTCCCCCTGCCTGCACTAGTGGAGACGGACAGAGAGGTCACAGGAGCCGAGAAGCTAGAGTTGCAGCCAAAGGCCCAGGCGGCTCAGGTTTCAACCAGTGCACAATCTGCGGATTTGGACATCCATCTTGCCCGTATCACTCAATAACCGCCAAGCTTTCCACTGACTTGTCCAGCTACAGCTGTACTTTGGGATTCTGTAGGGGCGATAGCGGCTTCTCTGCTCGTGCTAGGATGTAATCGCTCATCGCGGCTAAATCCGTGGTGTGGTACAGAACAGTAGGAGCAACTGAAGCAAGCGCATACAGAGACATTCGGTCGTTTTCCTGTAGGAAACGAAGGGTTGATTCGCAAACTGAATTTTGCTGCCCCTGGCTGTCTACCGTTGCGCAGACAGCACAACTGCAAGCATCATTAACGTCTGCAGGGGTAAGATCCGATCCCTCGAAAGCGTTGCAAGCTTCGTGCATCGACGTGGAGTATCCATGCAGGCTGCATTTCCGAACAACCTGTGCACCCCAATTACACGAAACGTTGCGTGACAATCAAACCTGACTATACAGGACGATGCAACATCATAGACCGTAATCTGCGTTTGTGTGCGTGCATGCATGTAATGTACTTATGCACGTGTGTCTGTCTGGCTGTATGTATCTACACAATGCAATACAATGCAGCATATTGTTCTGTAGCGTAGGGAATGTGAATCATGTACGAAGAATGCATGCATGTGCAAACAGAATACAAATACAGACACGAACAACAAGCCCATGCATATACATCTATGCATCTACTTGTTGGTTTGCTCACCTTTGTGCATATGGAAAGTATCGAACTGCAAATGATTCGTACTGCTATTCTTGCAACGACAATTAACGACCATTGCTATTATCATTGCTGCCACTAGTGGCACTAGTGTTATCGTAGAAGCAGTAGTCGTCGTCGTCGTGGTAGTTGTTTGTTGGTTAATAATACTAAAAAGTAGTGGTCGTCGTCGTAGTAGTAGTAGTGGAAGTGGTAGTGGCAGCAGTAGTAGAAGTGGTAGTATTCGTCGTCGTCGGCGGAGAAGTAGAAGTAGAAGTAGAAGTAGAAGTAGTAGTAGTAGTAGTAGTAGTAGTAGCAGCAGTAGCAGTAGCAGTAGCAGTAGCAGTAGCAGTAGCAGTAGCAGTAGCAGTAGCAGTAGCAGTAGCAGTAGCAGTAGCAGTAGCAGTAGCAGGAGTAGGAGTAGTAGTAGTAGCAGTAGTAGCAGTAGTAGTAGTAGTAGTAGTAGAGGTCGAGTAGCAGAAAAAGTAGTAGGCAGTGGAAGTGGTAGAAGATGTAATGACATTGGTGGTAGCAGCAGTAGCAGCAGCAGAATTTGCTGTGGCTTCGCCATTCCAGTCAATTGCTATTTTGTGTCACACCGCGGAATATAGGGTAATGTGTACCGACACGGCGACGGCGAAGAGTCTTGCACACAATTGCACAGGTGTGTGCTTGTCTGATCTATCCTTTTTAATCAGGTGTTCACGTACATCTCTAGTCTTCGATTTTCCTCTGCTTAGACCGATGTTTTTTGGGGACGCAATGAAACCAAGATACCGTTGAGACTGATAGCACAAGGAATAGCATGGCAACAAACAAAACACAATGATGACACGGATAAGATCCACAGCTGTGACAACTAATCCAAATGTAACCATCGTCCTGAGAAAGATTGAGTAAAAACGAGGAGGACTACGTTGTGATAACCTGAAGCATCATGCAACGTGACATCTTGCACCATCATCTAGCAACGACCATACCCCTGAGAATTAGTGACCAACGGCAGTATGACGCTGGCAACGCGAGCTAGAATGATCCTACAGGTACTAGCATCTGCAACAGCACACTACAAATACATGTTCACCTACCTTTGTATCTGTCCGCAGGTGTACATATATTATATATGTATACGTACATGCATATGTGTGTAGGTGCATATGTGTATGTGTATGTACATGCAGGCGTGCATGTATATGTACGTTTGTCTATGTATTCAAAGACGTACATACGTGAGTGCAAATATGTTTTTCTCCCTGTCCCTTCGTCAATACCTCGTCGTAAATATATGTGCTCGAGAGTGAGAGAAAGGGAGAGAAAACACTCAAAAACAAAGAGACGGATTAAGCATACACACATCTTGCATACACCGTATACATGCAGGTGTGCATACATGTACATATGCATACAGATTTTTATCTATCTATATGTATATACAGATATGATGCATCTACTTCTCATGTTTTTTGAAATATGCCTGGTGGGCCTGTTGCGCCAAGGCATCGCTCGCCTACCCCGCAGGATTTTCAGGACCGTCCGATTTGAACTAGCCAACGGTGTCGGTTTCCGACAATTTGAATCCATTGGGATGGTGGTTGCAACCACGGACTAGTTGCAGAAACTCTCCATTCTATCGAATCTACTTTCTGTGTTGTTCGCCTTGTTGTGCAGGACGCAAACAGAGTCTACAAGTGAATCACATCCCCATCCTAACCCTCCGCGCAGGTCTTCTGCACGTAACACTATGAACACAACCCACCCCTAGCGGTGGGTCTTCGGAACTTGTGGAAGGTTGAAGCTCACCTTTCGAGGCAGCCGCGGACGCCCCGGGCGTCCCACGGAGCTGGAGGTGTCCGTCTCCTGGGAGCGAAGGCAACACACCGCGACATCTTGGTGGGCAGGGAAAAACAGTTCGTCAAAATTTCAAAACTCTTCAAAGTCGATGAAATCATATTGGCACTGGGCGACTGCCGCAGAGGTCACCGTGACGCTACTCGCAGACCTGCACGGCCGGTCGCGTGGTGGCCCGTGTTGTACGCAATTGCAGGCCAGAGGAGTCACTGTCCGCGAGTTGGGATATCACTATATAGTTGGTACTTGAAAGGAAAAGCTCGGCTACAGCTGCCTTCGAGAGTACAACAGCCATACTTGGCAGTCTCCAGAGGCAAGTTGTGACACGTTGCGAGCTAACAGGGAATCGCATACAGTTCTAACGATATGACTCTGCATACCCAGCTAGGTTTAGTGACGAGTAGCGAAACGTCATGCAACCAGATATACAATGATTTTACTTAAACCCTATGAGTACAAGCGAAAGACGGAAACTATGTAGCAACAGAATGTAACGACATGTAAGCATGATAGTAGCTGACACCTGCCAGTAAACACATAGGATCGAACTCACTTTCATCTTTCCTTCTGACCTATCTATCCGTCCATCTACCCTTCTACATGATGCAGCGTATGGTCAAAGGTTACTGCGAACGGAAGGGTATGCAACTATGCTAAGATGCGACAGGTTCGATAACACAATCAAACAGTGTGCACAAGTTAGTATGCAACACTATATCGGACAAAACCGCAGCAGAAACGTTTTTCAAGTATGCACAAGCAAGCATAGCGCATAGTAACATAGTTGTCGAATCAGATGTAGCAGCTACTGGTGACAACGTACAATGCGAAACAAGCACAGCAATTAGCAACAGCACGGGATTGAATCTGCCAATGGTAGTGTGAGTGATGCGGCAGCATAATACACTGACAGTATATAACAACGGAGCAGGCATATGAATGCCACGTACGAACCTTTGTAGATACACCGTAAAGTTGCCAAACAAGACTGCCTGATACCCACACTACTACTGTTAACTACTTAAGAATGAGCCGGCAGTCGCCTCGAGCTCTGTGCACCCCTCGCACGCACCCTTGCCGAAGTGATCAGCGGGCGTCGACCCTGCAGGGCGGAGGACACAGACAAAGAGCCGGACGTCACAAGACATGGATTCTAAAGATCCTGGCAGCCCGAGGTAAGTCAGACGCTTCAAGAGATCGCACTCCGAAACTTGCAATAATCGACTGGGACACTTTCGCAACGAGCTCTGGGGGTTGACAAGTTGAGAGTCGAGGCTGCACAGCCTTTAGCATGAGCTTGTTGAGTCTTGTTGAGAGCCTATGCCTATGCATTTCGCAAGCACCTCGTGGAACTCCGCGGACTCGAGGGCAAGCTCCTGCCAAGAGTTGCCATCTCGCATTGAGGTGAGAGCTGAACCCAATGGTCAAGAGAAGACCCGAGAATCAACGGTGGATGATGGATGATCGGAGCCCATGCAACTGTGACTGACTCCTCCATCCAGTGTCTGCCTTGGGAAATCAGAGCAAGCATAATTAATACAGAATGGCCACAGGCATTGTTTAGCAAAGTAGCTCTGCGGGCATCTGGCTGCCTCGATGATGCGCCGCTCTGTGACCTCTGTGCAGATGCACAACGTCGTAGAGCGTCTACGCTGACGAAGCTAGCAGACCTCTCCAGACACCGCAGATTTCAAACCTTATGAAAGATGCCAAAAAGTTGTTTATACACTCCTTATGTTGTGCCGCTGTGCCCTTATGTTTCTCAGTTTTGAGGGAATGGAACCTCCGAGCGTGTCATCGGAGGCCGCTCCCAGAGGTGCTCCGGAGGAAGCGGAACGTAGCCTCGGCAGGACTTCACCCGCAAACTTAAGGCGAGCCGGAGCCGTGGTAACGAGACTCTAAGTCTCGCGTGGCCGAGTGCAACAGCTAGGATTCAGCTTTGGTTTCGGATGCAGTAAAGAAGTTAAGTGCTATGCTGACCACCCCAAATCCCGAGAACTCTCTTGGAGCCTGGCCGACGGCCTCTTACTGAGATCCCTCTTTTCAGGCCTAGGCACATTTGGGCAGCGCCTGCTGCGGTGGCGGTCTGTGCCCAGTTCTCAACCGTCCCGTTGCCGTCCAAAGTTTGAGGCCCTGGAGAGAAGATTCGAGGCTTTGGTGGGGCGTTCCAAGTTCGCAAACACCCTTGTCAGCCTTTGTCAGTTGGGCTCTTGAGGCAGAAGCCCAAACAACAAGCGATCGATACAATCTGGAGGAATCCTGGAGTCAGATGCACAACCTTCTGGCTTCTGGATATCCAGCAATCCAACGCCTTCGGTGGCCTTGACCCTGCCCGCTGCCGTTTATTGGACAAGTTGCCATCGGGATGTGCTGCTCTTCATTTCCCGATTTCTCCTGTGGTCCCGTCGCGTTACTGCCTTCATGATTGCCGACGCCGGGGAGAGCAGGAATGTCTCGGGCAGGGTTCCGGTGCGAGGGAGGTCTGCGAACTCAACGCACGTCGTTAACGTCGAAAAACGAACTGAAACAACGCGAATGGCACTTGCAAGTGGAGGAAGCAATCTCCCGTAGTCACACTGCCTGCTGCAATGATGCCAGTTTTGTGATGTCTCAAAGCGATGCCAACTATGACTCGTGTTCTTGTAAAAGAACCACGAGGCATTCCTTTGGACAAAGCACCGTGTGCCAAGCATACTCCTGGAATTGCTGTCATGCCAGGTGTGCAGCCAGAAGAACGCTGATCACTGCTTCTCGGAATGTCAAAGCTCCTTTTTGGCCGCAAGAGATGGTGACCCGAATGAAGACACAGATGGAGAAGGACAGATCATCGTGTTTTTGCGGGTCGGTCTGGAGCATGTGTGCCTGGCAGGCGGCCACATTGACAAGATTGGCCGCCGCAATGGTCTTCAGCCGCGATCACAGCCACAGCCACTACCCTTCCCCAAAAACACCTCAACACCGGCATGCAACTTGGCCTGTTTTAAGTGGTGCATCCAGCGAGCCTTCGCTGCAATTTAGTGCGGCATCTCCGAATGCATCATCTTCCGGACTCAAACATGACAAGGACATGGACTGGTGGATGGCGGCTTAACCCAGATGCAGGATGCGGTGTCTGATGCTTGATGCGGCACATGCGTTTATTCAGCTGCCGGTGCTCGGTGGTTGGCCCACCCAACCCAATAGGAACCAGAAAGAACAGTTTTTGAGTGGCGAAGCATCCTAGGTTGGGCTCATCAGAAAACCCAGAAAACGCAAGAAGTGTCCAACAAAAAAGTCTTATCCCCATTCGGCTCTTCCTCGCCCTCATCGATCGTCTGGCGCACCACCTGCAAAGCGCACGAAAACAGAAAAATGTCTAGCCCACTCCATGGAATCACCTGTCACGATTCGCTTGTCGCTTAAGTCGCGAGGCGCCTTGCGAGCAGTGCGGCGAGCCACTTGCACGTTGTCCTGGGCTTGCAAGGCTTCGGTGCCAGAGCTGTCCCTTCGAGGCTCCACTCCAAGGCCAAGGTGCGATGCCACAGTAGATCCACTCCGTCTTTTTGTTTGTGAGGCCTCGGCTGAGCTGACGTGCGACAGTGGGATGCCCTTACGACCACTCGCGGAAAGGAAAAAGCAACCCATACAACAACCAACTCCCTCGACGACCCTCGGCGGGCCGAGGAAAAGAGCAACGCATTGCCAAGGCACGGCTCAAGAAGTTCGTCTCCAAGCCCTGGCCCATGCGTGCCCGTGGCACGGAGATGCACGGAGCAAACATAGGCAGATTCCCATATTCGGCTATGTAGAAGCAGCTTTTTGACAGACGCCCTCGACACACACACACACACACACACACACACTACATAGCTGGATCCGATCCTCTCGCTTAGATTTTGCGATGCATCGAATTCCAGGGTACCTCCGGAGCGTCGATGAGCTTCCCGTGCTCACGCAGCATTTTGGCAGCCTCGTTTGTGCAACTTTTCTGATTTAGCATTGGGATTGTCAGACCTGAAATGACCTGAATGCCCCTGTGTCTTCACTAAAGGCACCAAGCTTCAGAGTGATGCAGACAACTCTGCATCTCGGCCGAACACGAAGCGTTCAGGGGCAAATCGCTTCCAAGCTGCATCTGCGTCTGTGTTGGCCTAGGCTGCACAACTAAAACACTGAGAGGCAAATACATAGTGTCAGACCGTCAGAAATGCCACGGGCTATCGTGCGGTCTCTCACCACGCCCAAGCTGCGATGTTCTGCGTCTGCGGCTTGGGCATGTCGGTGCGGTGAGGGACACCACGGGCGATGTGCAGATTCCTGTCAGTCGAGGGTCATCGATCTGCGGAAGGCCGACACGGATGAAACGAGGTCACGCTTACAACAGCAGCACCGGGTACTACGCATGGAACCGAACTTCAAATCACGCATACTCGCAAAGTGGGTAGCAGTAGCAGTAGCAGTAGCAGTCATTAGCAGTAGCAGTAGCAGTAGTAGCAGCAGCAGGAGTACCAACAGCAGCAGCAGGAGGGAGGAGTAGTAGTAGTAGTAGTAGTAGCGGTAGTAGTAGCGGTAGTAGCGGTAGTAGTGGTAGTAGTGGTAGTAGTAGTAGTAGTAGTAGTAGTAGTAGTAGTAGTAGGAGTAGTAGTAGTGGTAGTGGTAGTGGTAGTAGTGGTAGTGGTAGTGGTAGTGGTAGTAGTAGTCGTAGTAGTAGCAGTAGCAGCAGTTGTTGCAGGAGGGAGCAGCAGCAGCTCTCCCTCCACCTGCAGTTCTGCTCCAACCAGGCGCACAGAATCTAATGAAACACTGCAACAAGCGAGAAGAGTCGCTTGATAACCCAAACAAACTGCACCACCACTGTTGCCTGCTTGAGCGCAAAAAACCCTGCCCCCTCATGCACCTCCAGGTGTCTTCTTCCTCTTCCTGCTGAGCAACGCAGACCAGCAATGTGGGATCTGAAAGGCAACACGCCGTTTCGCTTGCCGCAAGCTAGTAGCAACCCATATGCTTCGTACTGTAGGCTCTTGAACCGAGCAGGCAGTGGTGCAGTAATGAATGCTCTGCCATCAAACATACTTCGCATCCTCGTCGTTCACCATGCCCATGCCCTCGTCATCTGTTTCTTCGATGCACTCCTCCAACAATGCGCCTGGCAAACACTGGCGGCTACCCGAAGCTTTCGGCTCAGATTTGTCCCAAGCGGCCCGGCCGTCCGGCCTCTCGCCTGAGCCTCGCCAGTTCTGGCAGAGGTCCGCGACTCCAACCTGCACTTGAGGACAGAATCTGTGAACTCATGATCATCTGATCTACCGTCTACAGTATGACTATTCAGACGATGTGTGTTAACAAACACAGCCCAGAGCCGATCCGGGGCTCCAGCCGAAGCTCGCGCGAGTCGGGTCGCCTCCCCGAGGCTCACCCGATGGGAGCAGGAGGGGAGAGGAAGCGGGAGCGGTTTCTTTCGTAGCTTGTTTTCAGTGATGCAAGTTGATGGAAGCCGTGCTCCATCTCGTGAAACGGTTCTGCCATGATGTGATGACCGCATGAGGTGAGGAGGAACCACAAAGCACGTGCAGGACGCAGGATGCCTTGACGTTGCGGCAACACTGGTGGCCACCGAGGCGCCCGTCTGAGGCCGTGGAGAGCTTGGGCCTGCACTGCAGAGGAGACTCCCAAGCCTTCCACGCTTTCTGATACCAGGCCTGGCAAGGCTAGCGGCGCTTCGTCCAGCAGCTCGCCAGCCTCGGGTTCCTCAGCTGTAGGAGCCGCCATGCTTCGACGAAGGACAGATCTATTTGCGAAGGCCTTGGATGTCAAAATATGCCCGAATCCACGGTGCTCTTCTTCGCAAACCTCAATCCTAGCTTATCCAGCCCTACCTGTTGCAGCGGATAGCGCAAGCAATTCCAGGCTTGGCCCCTCCAAAGCCGGGCCTCTTCCAGCGATGTCTGGGCAAACAGCTCCTCTAAGGGAGCTTCCTGATGGTGAAAACAGCAACAGAGTCCAAGCATGACAGAAAACGGAGACGAGACCCTTGGAGCCTGACCTGCGGCGTCGGCTGGAAAGCGTGCCCTTCTCCCCGAAGATGACCTTCGGAGCTTGGGACGGTTTCCCTGTAGTCGACGTCTCTCGAAAGCCATCGACCTATGCCGACGGACGTGACAATGGCCACGTTGCCATCTCCAGTGACCTCGAAGTCAAGTCAGAGCTGGTCCGTACTACCAGCATGGCACGGCAATGTCACCATCGGCAGTTGTAGTTGGTTCGGCTATTGTCATCGCTGCTGCTTCTACTTGCATGCAACATTTCCACACCTGTAATCGACACAATCTACCTTGCTGAGGCAGAGACGCCCCGGATAGCGCATCCACGTGGGGCATCCACCATCGCACTGGGGTTCACTGTCCAATCGTAATAGCCTGCAGCGATTTCAGAGTGCAGGCTGCTTGCTCTGAAGCCACTCCGGCCTGCATGGTAGCGAGTGATGGCACGCAAATCTCCTTGATCCAGGACCTGCCCAACTACTTGGCTTCAGGATTGGGGACACTGCGTCAGAGGGTTTGAGCTGCATATCGCTGGCCCGCACGAACCGCATCAATTGATGAAGCGCATAGCTGGTTGTGCGATCCGTGTGTCAAAGACATGTACTACCTGATGCATGAACAGCTTCTCGTATGACTGCATTAGGAGCCGTCACGTCCTCCTCAAAAGACAAGTAAATCAGACCTTACCGTAAACATCCGTCGGCGGATTTGGCGGCCGCAGTTTCTACCGGCCCTGATCCAGAACCCCACGGCCTGGCTGTGCTCGTGCGGCACGTGCTCTAGGGCTTCTGGTCGATGCAACAAGCGCTCCTGAACATCTTCTCGCTCTACAGGGCATCGAGCAGAGGGCTCAAGCACAGCTCCTCCACCCCCACCATGTCTGCTGCGAGGCCGCCGAGTACGCCCAGCGGCACGACCGGGGCACCTGGGCGATGCGAGGCTCGTTCTGCGGAGTACAAGTTGAAACAAGGAGCAGTTCGACTTCATCTTCGGCGCATGGTGGGGGCTTCGAGCAAGGCCCGACAAGGCTTCAAGACGGATCATCAGGCGGGAGGTTGTGGGAAGCTGCGAAAATGCTACCGAAGTCAACTGCTGCCAGGAATCCGCGGAAGTCCATTACACTTCGGCTCCTCGCTTCAGCGTGAAAAAAGAGAAAGAGATCTCGCACAGAGGCGCATGCGGGCCCTTTGGGCATGGGCCTCCTTCGCTTCGGCAGCTCCTGAAGCAAGTGAGAATGCAGAAATGAGCACGCTGCGGCGCTCGCCCGCTTGAAGTCCCAAAGTTTCCCTTCTCCCCACCTCGTCCACCAGCTTGACAATTTCGCTGCTGGGAGGCCGCTCTCCCCCTAGCACATCCTGGTCTTCGGCACTGCTGACATCGGCATCAAGAGAGAAAACAGAGAGTCTCGGAGAGCCTCATCTTCGGGGCTGAACCTAAGCGGTGACATGCTCAGCCATGGCCCTGGCTCAGGCTTCGCTGAGCCTAGGACCTGTAGAGCTCTTGCAGGAGCAGTTCATCCATTTCCTGCCAGTAGAAGCCCTCATCCACTTTGTGAGTAGGGCCCCTGTCGCGGCCTGCGTGCTGCTCTTGGTGAATGCACTGCTGCCAGTGGCTTTGGACCCTGGCAGTCACTTGAGACAAAAAAGCAGGCTTGTGCGACTCCCAAAGTTTCGGCTTGCACCGTGCGCCTTGGGAGCTGCGCATGGTGCTGTCGAGTGGTAGCGTACCTTGCTCTTTCCAGCTTCGCGCAGCTACATGCTTGCTATCAAACTCATGGAACCAGCCTCCCAGCTTCTCGTGCTTGACACCACGTGCCCATACCTCCATCGGAACCTGCACGGAAGAGCTTATGCTCTGGGGCTTGACATTGCCACTTTGAACCCCTTGGCACACGCTCCACGTGCGCGGCAAAACCGACAAGGACATCCCCGTGGCCAGCGCTAGTGTCCATGTCGGGCCTGAGGTGAAAACGGGCCGACCCTTGCGCGGGATTGCGATGACTGTGGTGCGTATGGCTTGAACTATAGCTGTGAGTTCGTGGCAGCCGAAGGAAAGCCACAGTGGAGCACGGCTGTGGGAAGAAGACCTGCGCAGCCGAAGATTGCTAACTTCGACGGATGCCGCGCACGTTCTGCTACGAGAAGCGCGCTGCACAGCCACCTCGCGGAGAAGCTGGAGAGCCGAAGACCAGAACCGCACCGTGTCGTCCTCACCTAGAGAGGTGCACCAAGAAACATTGAGGAAGGGCCCCCGCATCCCGCTGATTCTTGCACATGCTGGCAGACTGACGTGAAACGCGTGACTCCAGCACGACAGAAAGCGCAGTCTAGAAGCCATGAGCTAGGCTCTGGACCGACAGAGACAAAGATCTCGATCGGTAACAAGTAGTCGACCTTCAAGCATCCGGGCAGCAGACGTACCAAGTTCAGGCGACGATCTGCGCTTCCGTTCTGTTTGGAACTGCTCGCAACACTTGCATGCTGCAGAAGTTATTCCTTAGTCTCGCGGGCCTGCAGGACGGGCCCTCCGTGAGACGCCTGCGACGAAAACACCTGCAAATAGGATACGCAGCGCAGTTCTCTCAGCAGCTTCTCTGTTTTGCCAGCTAACGCTCATCGAGGCACGTCCGAATGCTTCCGGAGTGCCTTCAACTACTCACATACATACATACATACATACATGCATTCGTTCAATCAAATGCAGGAAGCCATGAACTTGCGCTGAATTCGTGGGCACGATGCACCTCGATGTCAGGCGACGTCCACGGAAGCTCAACCTGTCGGATGAGATTCCGGGAAACCCGAAGACATCACGACGGGATGACGACACTCCATACAAGGCTGTCCTGTGGCAGTTGGCTTCGGGCTGCGAGGGGAGGAGCGCCCATGCGGGGAACGCAATTCTCCGTCCCTCACATGGCGCAAGCCATTGCTATTCACGATAACAGTGGACTGGGGGCATGGTGTGGGTAGCAGCAACAAAGACGATCTCTATCTTCATGACTCACAAGCCATCATCGCCGTCATAGCCCCTTGCTTTCAAGCTCCGGGAACCCGGGCCATCTCCAAGGATCCGCGGGAGTTGCCCAGGGTCACCCCCAGCAGCTGCGGAGTCGGAGGCACCTGGAAGAGCCAGGGCCAGGCGAGACTTTCGGGACGGAGGGCACAAGGAGTCGTTTTGCATCAGTGAGGTAGGAAGGACGAGTCCTCAAAGAAGTTACTGCTTCTCGGAACTACTGCCGCTGTGTGCCGCTCTCGTGCCTGGTATAGCTAGATTGCTGCCTGCACTTTGCTAATTGATGCTAATTGTGATTCGTGGCACCTGATTGGTGGCATGCGGCATGCTAGCCAACAATGCACCACTAGTACCACTACGAACACCGCTATGCGGCTATGGTGAGTTTCGACCCCGGTTTTTTGTGGAGAGTACCAGTAGACTAGTAGACGGCATAGTCCCACGAAGCACCTCCGCGTCGCTCTCAACTTGGACTTGGGCGTGGCCTTCTGCGCTTCGATGGTCCTCTCAGGTTCCCAACTGCGAGTGTGGGGCCCAAGTCGAAACCTCTCCCGAGGCCTCCGGCGCTGGCTCCCCGAGCACGATGTAAGGAGTCAAGCACGAAAATTCCGGAAGAACTGGGCACGCATGAAGCTGCGAGGAGGCTTTGCAACAGAACCACGTGCTGAAGCTGATATCGGGCCAAGAGTGTTTCTGCTCGGTTTTGCAAGACGGGACCTCTACAAGGCTACTAACAGGCGCCCGGCGCAAGCGAAAAAGTATTCGGCTGTCTTCAGCCTGCTGCAGCTGAAAATCGAGGCAAGCGCAAACAAAACTGGCCGGTTCCAGGCCGCCTGACAAACCTTCAAGCCGTTCTTCGCGTCGATGGTCAGAATCAGGTCGGCCATGGATTTCACGAAGTCGATGGCATAGTCGTGTCGCCTCCACAACAAGTGCCATCCAACCAACCTCTTTTCACAGCGCCCTGAGGCCTCCAGCGGCTGTAGAGTTTCAGCTGCGGTCCACTGGGTGGAAAGGGCCGCTGCCCCGGCGTCTGAAAGTCAGAAAAATGAAAGGCAAGAAGCCGTCTCGCTTTGTCTGCGCAACAGCTGATTGGGGCACCGGCCCTGGAGGCCTCCATGGCAGCTTCATGCTCCTGGCAGCGCGATCTCCGCTGCTCAGCGCTGTGTTTTTTTCCCCCGGAAACTTCTTGCAGTGCAGAGTGCATGGCTCTTCCGCGCGTCACTAATCGCGTGCTCTGTGATCGGAAAGCGCAAGCCGCAGTCCTTTTCGATTTCTGCGAGGCGTCCATCAGCCTCCTTTACTGCCCCCTTGAGGACTGACGTCCGCATGGTCTTGGCACGTCCGGGACCTAGACGGGCAAGAACTAGACACGTAGGAGTTTCCATGGAAAGTCGGAGTGCCTTGTCATGTGTTCATCAAGCTTGTGATCAACATTTCCTGCTGCATTGAGACATTTAGAATCCATGTATGTCTCGCAGGTACTTTACAGCTTGTGTAGATGTAAACATGCTGAACACTCGCGACAGACATCATGGGAAAATTCGTCTCAGGGCGCATGGCCGCCCAAAAGTCAGCAGTATCACAACTTGGTGCCTGACTTCGCCGCGTGTGCTCCTTCTTCGGCAGGTGTGGTGCAAGCCTGGTCGACGCTGGACTCTGAACTGTGCACAGACACGCCGCATCCGGAGCCACCTACCCCACACGGGCAACTGCATCAAGAGGTCCGCAATCTTGAAAGCCTGCTAGAATCAATGGGCCATGTGCCAGGAACGAACAATTTGCTGCACCGCGCCTGCAGAGTGCCCATCTGTGTACCCACTAGCAGGTACCAGTCCCGCCTAGGCTGAGAAAACAGACAGCCCCAACAGGGCCTTAAAGAGTGTCTCGCTCCACAAACTTGAGCTCACAGGATGGACATCTCTTTTCTCTCCCTGCCAAGGCGTTTGAAACCGAAACCTCGTCTGCGGCCGGGTGCGCGGTGGCTTCATAATAGGGGATCGTATCATCGTTTCTAACGACAGCACTAGCTGCCCCCAAGCCCGTGTTCGGAGCTCCCGATTTGGACGGCGTTGTCAGACATCGACTAGAAATTCTCCCGGGATGGCTGCAAATCAGACCATTATCCGCATTACGATACTCAACCTCACGGCCGTGGCAGCCTCTGGAGCAAACATGCCGTCTACTGCCACTCCTAGTCCTAGGTCCTAATGCTTTGCATGAGCAGCCTTCCCGGCTTTCACCAGCGTGCCAAACTGCGAAGGATCCACTTTGACGCCGGTTCTCAGATGCCAGACTGAACGGCTTGGCATGGCACGCGCATGAGAAAGAAATTGCCAGACTCACACCCCTTAAGTTCAGCTAATCCCTGCAGAATGGCACTTGCAGGCAAGATGCATTGATGACACGAAAAGCATGCCACCTAGGCAGACAGTTCTTGTGGCTGAGGTCTACTGCAACACGCCGCCCAAGCACCACCAGTCCTGCTTAGAACAACACCTGGAAACATTCGCAGGTCATCTCATTGAGTTGAAAACTGCTCCAGATGATTAGATGTCGTAGGGGCGGGAAAGCTTCGAAGAACACGACACAGCTCGAGACGTCTTAGGGAGTGTACTTGCGGGTGCTCTGTCTAGAGTCTGGACTCTGCATGTGATCATTCCTCCAAACCCTGTCTGCACCAGGCCGCCCCAGAGGAAGGCGATCGTGAGGACAACCTCGGGCAAGCTCCCGTCTCACACGGAAATGGCACTACGACTTCTGACCACCGACCACCCACTACGTGTAGCGGGGTTAAATCGCGTCAGGGCGCGTTTAGTCACAACACCCCAAGGTGACGCTCGATCCGCGTTTAGTCGCATCACCCGCGTTTAGTCACATCAGAAGTAGCGAAACCCCATGGGCACACGGCACGGAGGTGGGCTTCAACACATGTAGCGAAATGAGTAGAAAGGCCGCGTGACGCAGGTATTCGTGGCTATCTTGCACTCACATCACCTCATTTCATCACACCAGAAATATCGAAACAGGTGAGCTGCGCGTGTGCCGCAGGTATTTGGGCTTATTTTGCAGTATTGAAACATGCCAGAGGAACTCCTGCGCAGGGCTTGTTTAGTTCGCGAGTGGGGACTGCAACAGTGTATTTTGCAGGGATTTTCGGGTTCTGACTTGTGGTATAGATAGTAGGCCTGCGCGACGCCCGTGCGAGCTCGCGCGAGCGCCGCGCGACCTCCAACCCTACACCTACCTATCGACCGGCTGTCAAAACCTGTTCCATTCCCCATGTGAGCGCGCGATTCGGCCGGCAACCGCTCGAGAAACTTGCCATTCCCCATGTGGACACTCAATTTCGCCACCCGCTCGGGACACACGTCGAGGGCGTCACAGCACACCAAACCAGTCATTCCCCATGTGGACGCTCGATTCCACAAGCAACCGGTGGAGGCACACATAAGTATTCACTGTGATCATCCATAACATCACAGCACGTCAAACCCAGCCCTTCCCCATGTAGACGCTTGATTCCACAGGCAACCGCTCGAGACTTTGGGCCAGCAACCGGTACCACTGGAATCGCAAACAGCAGCTGCACACTGGCTGAATCATTAGGTCTACAAGCATGTCCGAGGATGCGAACTGACACGTTTTAGCAGAATCCCCAACTGCACACTCGATCGATGCGACTAAACACAAGCCGATGCGACTTAACCCATGGACCCAGTACGATCAGATGGATCTTCTTCTTTCTTGCCTTAGCAGTCTATGGACGTCACACACAAGGCCCGCTTAGACCCTCCATTCCAGAAGCCGTGGGCATGAAGTGCGCTCGGCATTTCAGGCGCAACTTCAGAGCCAAGGGACGTTCAGCAGCAAAACAACAAGTCCGACAGCCATCCAGCGCTTGCAGCTGAGCTTCTCCTGCAGGTTTGGTGTTGAATTGCACCCAGCCGACCCATGGACACTGCATGAGCACCATGCACTCTCAAAGAGACGACAGAGACAAGCATGCACCTGCTTTTCGCCGCCTGAACGCACCGTGCATCAAACAGTCCTGAAGCCAATTGACCATGTTGTCAAAGGGCTTCGAAATAGCCAGGGCGATGCTGATTCGAACTGGCCGAACTATGTTGCTTATCACCTTTGCTGTCATCCATCACAGGTTCGACGGCATGCCGAATCGGAAAAACACCACAAGATGTGCAACTAGTTCCAGCAAGGAAGACCACTCAGAAATGAAGAATCAACGAGTTCTTCCACGAAACTTCGTCCGAGCTCTGACTGATCGTGCATTTTGGACTAGCCCGGCTGACGGCCAAGGAGCGTAGAGTCCAGCCCATGTAATGCCGAACTGTTTCAGGGCCACCTAAGCCCAAACGAAGCCATGTGCTTGGCCCAACGGTAATCATCTGCTAGAAGCCAGGGCCTTATGACTTCTGCTAGGGTTGCTCTGTTCGAGATGGTCGTACAGATGGAAGCGCGCAAAATTCCGCATGAGGAGCAACAGATCAAGAAGTGACATATCCCGTGTCTACCTCCTTTCCGCAGCTGGGGTCGTGCGCCGGGCTGGCCAAAGGGCTGGCGCCTGTCGCCACGATCGAGCGGTAGGTGGCCAAAAGAATCCTCAAAGAAGCTGCGAAAGGACGACACAGAACCAAGAAAAAGCTAGACATGTGCCGAACCCCAAAGCTGTTACATGACGAGTTTAGCATCATCAACTGAATGGGTAGAGATACACGATCGACCCCAAATCCGGGGGTTCAGATGATAATTGTCACAGAGATGCCTGCAAAGTGTTGCTTTGCAAACGAGACGGAGGACGTACAAGAAAGCTGCAACACAAATTCAATGCAAGCAAGATAAGCTTGAAAAGCTGATTCCAGAGCAGAAGCCGGATAAATACCCCTGCAAACTCTATGCAAACCTCTGAAAAAGCTGGCTGCAATAAAAACACACACACACACACACGTGGAAAGCAACACAATGTTTTTGGGTCGCACGGTATGCATGGTCACGTTTCACAATGACTGCTTACTTTGTGCGGTCGTCCCTTCCCTAAACGACGTCCCCGAAGAAGGTTAGTCGTCGGCGCATGCCCACTTCGGCCCAGGTGCAGAAGCAAGGCATTCACGTTCGAGACGAAGCCATACGACAGCAGGCACCTTGCCATCAGCTCTCGCGTGACTGCAGTGTCCCAAGAGCTTGCATCTTCGCTGCGGATTCGGACAAGAAAATCTGAAGGTTTGCCAAGGCACATGAGCCCCATCTTCCGCAGAGACTTGGAGTCCATCTTGGCATTCCTGGTTTCGATGCGTAGGTTTGCCGCCAGTCTCTGGCTGTGATTGATGGGAAGCCGAAAGAGAGAAACGCCCAGACACCGGCGATCCACCAGCCAAGGATCTTTTGCCACCAGCGCTTGAACCGCGCACCCAGTGATTTGTCTTCTTCCGACGTGCTGCTCGCCTCGAAAGCTCAGCTGACGCAGATTAAACCCCTCACAATTGCCGCGATTTTTCCCCGAGGCCGAGTCCACCTTCAAACGACCAAAGAGGATGCTTAGTGGCTTAGTGCTTAAGTGCCAGCTTCGGCACAGGAATGGGCCTTGAGCTACGTCTTTTCGACATTCCGAGCGTTCTCCGGCCTCGCTGTCGCCCTCAGCCCGGCGGCGGCACCGTGCGGCGACGCTCGCCGCTGCACCGCCACAGAGGGCCGCTGCAGCACTGGGCTGGCGCCTCCCAGGGTCGGGAGTGGAACAATCCGGTCAGCTCGGGTCAGCTCGCGGCAGGTGCCTGCCATGAGCGTCAGCTCCTTGCCATCTTTGTCGCCGTGCCGGAAGCACTGGCGGCGCCTGCGCCTGATTTTTTCAACAGCCAGGAACTGAGCTCGCGCAAAGAATGCCTTTGTAAACGCCGAGAGAGCGGCCCCAAGATGCTGCACAGAAAAGCCCGGGCACGCCAGAGCCATCTTGAGCCGATGCTTCGCAGCGGAAGAAACCTCAAACAGACACCTTCTGAACGGCTACCGACTGAGCCACAAACCCAGTCGGCGGTGTCTGTTTGGGTATTTGCCTCTCGGACCAACGGAGCTTGGGCACACCACGGTACTGGGAATGCTTGCTCGGCCTTGCCGTGTTCCTGGCCTCTTATTGCAAGAGGATGGCGAAAGGAGAACTGGAGCCAAGCCTTCGCGGCGAGGCCGGAGACGAATCCTCCTCAAGAACCTGCTGGGCCACCTGCGAAACTGCGAAACACGGTCGAAGGCGAGACCATGGTCCGTTGCGGAACTCGGACGCCACACAGGCAAACAACCGTCGCACTTTTAGCTCTGACGCCAAAACGGACGACATACTTTTTCGTCGTGTGGATGTGTAGCGCTGAAAGCGCCGCTCGGCGTGCAGGTTCAAGTCCTACAGCCGGCGCCGGGTGCGCAGTTCAGCACCGGCCCGCTGCGGACTGACCGCCGCCGAACCCATAAAGGGTGGCGTGGGTGGGAGAAAAGCTTTGGCGAAAGGTCGCGTCGAGCCAGAGTGCTGAAGGCAGCTACGCCGTTCACGGTTGTTACTACGCACACAAGTGTGCACTCTTAGCTCTGACGCCAAAACGGACGACATACTTTTTCGTCGTGTGGATGTGTAGCGCTGAAAGCGCCGCTCGGCGCGCAGGTTCAAGTCCTACAGCCGGCGCCGGGTGCGCAGTTCAGCACCATCCGGCGCACCCTGCCCCACCACGCGCCGGCTCAGAGAACCAGGAGGTAGAGCAGGAGTCCAAGTCGGCCGCCGCCGCATCCACCGCATAGACGATGTCGTCGACCGCCTTCGCCAGGATGATGTTCATGATCGTCGACGCCGGGGTGTGGACCCTCGTCCACCCCTCGCGTCGTGCCCGGGAGAAGTCGTCGCGAGACACCGCGTCGGCCACATTGGCTTTCGACGGTACCCGCCGGAACTGGATCAAGGTTCCTTTCCTCGCCGCCAGGGCCCAAAAGGCCGCCAGCAGCCCGTTCACCGCCGGGTCTTTCCCGTATCCTTTGGACAACGCCGCCTGGCCCGCGGAGTTGTCAATGAAGGCTGTGATGGCGCCGGGCATGTGGGCGGAGAACGCCGCAATGGCGACCACCTGCGCGAAGATCTCGAGCATGTAGATGAAGGCCCGCCGCGCCTGGAACTTCTGCAAGAACCATGCCGGGACGACGCCGTGGTCGTAGAACACAGCGCCACCGAGGCGCAGAACGAATCCCCAGCCGTTGTTGACACGGTTGGGCCGTGAGGCGTCCGCCGTCACTGGCACATGCCTCGCCTTGTGGATCCGTTCTCCATCCAGGAAGAAGGCGTCGGCGTAGAGTACCGCAGTGTCCAGCCCGTCGGTGGCGAACGGTATGAAGCGGGGTCGGACCATCGGCAGGATGTGCTCAAGGGACAACAGCGCCGCCCGCAGTCCCGTGGTGAGACCGTCGGCCGAGTGTGCCGCCGTATCCGCCGCACGGGCGTAAACCGCCTTGGTGGGTGCCTTTCCCACCCCGCCGAAGACCGCCTGCGTGAGGAAGGAGAGTCTGCCCGCGAGCTTCTGCGCGTCGTCGGGCTTGAGCTGGTCCTCGTCGAGCGCCTTCCGAATCTGTGCCAAAATGCGCCGCACTCTCTCAGGTGTCGGGCTGACCGTGACCCCCCGTCGGGAAATGGCAAAGGTGACGCCTTGAACCACGTGCTGGGCCGCCGCCGGTTGGGACTTGGAGGCCTTGATGCGGAAGCCTATAGCGCCGCAAAGAGCTCCTTGAAGGACTCGGTCGCCGACTCGCCGAGCTCCTCAAACTCCAGGCCGTTAAAGTCGTCGACGTAGTGCCCCGTCGCCAGCAGCAGCAGCCCTCGCAGCAGTTGCTGGAGGGCGTCGCCGCCGCGGTTAAAATTCCAAACCGAGGCCGTGGCGCCGAAATTCATGGCAGGTGGTACCAGAAGGTCCATCCCTCCGCCGTGGCCAAGAAGGTGCCGCACTGCGCCGGGTGCTTCACCGGCCACTGTCGGTAGGCATTGAGCAAGTCATGCCCGAACACCAGGATCACGCCGTCGTCGGCCATGCTGCGGGCGAGCTCGACAAAGGCGCCGATGAAGTGGTGTGTTGGGACGTCGTCGGCACTGACCGTCGAGTTGTGACCCGATCGTCTCCAATCTTCTCCTCGTCGGATCTTGGGGTCACCGTTCTCGTCGATCTGGACTATCGCAAAGGAGACCACCAAGAATTCCTCGCCGGGTGGGGGCTCGACCAGCGTCGCCGCGGCGTCGACCCACGGGAGCGCCACCGCCTTGACTTGGAGCCACTTTGGTGGGCGCGCCGGGCCTATGACCCGCCCCAGGCGGACTTCGTCGACCAGCTCCTGCAGCAGGGTGTCGGTGTGCTCGCCGGTGTGTGGCGCCGCCACCTTGCGCCGCACATAGTCAGCGTTGACTTGGCGCAGGGACTCCATGGACGCCGGGAACCTGTAGCGGTCGTCGGTCCTCTTTCGCCAACCTGGTCCTGGACGAAGGGCGCCGACCATGTCGAAGCCGTCGGTGAGGTCCTTCTCGAGGTTCGACACGTCGGGGTAGTTGAGGCGCCGGAGGAGCTCCAAGAAGACCGGGATGTGGGTGACCGCCGGCTTGTCCGGCATCGAGTAGGTCGCTCGGACCGCCGGGGTGCGCGCTGCCATCCACGCCGCCGTCTCGTCGGCGAAGTCCTCAATGAGCTGCCGCACCTCGTCGATCACCTCGCGCCTGATGCGCGCCAGGTCGTGTCTCCAACGCCGGCGTAGTGTGATGCCTTCCGCCCACGCCGGCTCCAACACCGGATCCGTCTGGAGTGGGTGTGGCAACACCGCCGACGCCTTCCAGTGTGACTCCTCGTCTAGGCGTCGGGTCCCGCCGGCTGTTCGGGCGCTGGTCCCATGATCGGACCGCCATGGCGCCACAGCGCCGCTACCCAGGAGATGGTCGATTGACGGGGTGGCCCCGTCGGCTGGGAGGCCGCCGTCCCCATGTTGGTGGCCACCAAGAGGATCAGCAGCAAGCGCCGCGCCACCCCCAATGCCACCCATTGCCCAAGCGGCGGCGGGTCCGGTCGTCGAGGGTGGTGTCGCCGGCCTTGAGGGTGTAGTCCGCCGGCATATGGTGGAGCTGCTCCTTCACCTTGGGTGGAATCACCTGGAGCTTCCCGTCGGCGCCGACCATCATAGCTTCGCGGATGTAGTGCCATGGCGCGAACTGTCGTCGGTCTGTCAGCCATCGCTGCTGTGCGTCGGCTGGGATCTTCCCCCGACAACCTCTGGGCGCCGCTCGGCCGTTCTCGTCGGCTGCAGGCGTCGCGGTGCATGGAAGGCCCCGTCTGCCGGAGAGCACACTGTCGTCGAAGGTGAAGCCGTCGAGGATCATGCTGTCCGCCGCCCTTCGGGCTTCCTCGAGCCGGAGGCGATCCCAGGGGGCCTTTCCGCGCCCACTGGAGCGGCTCGCCGTTCCCGGGATCCAGCCACACCTGGCCCCAGTCCAGTCCGCCGATATCCACCAGAGGCGGGGCCTTCCAATCCAGCCGAAGTCTGCCGCGTCGGCGAGTAGAGGCTGTGTCCCTAAAGCCGCCGAAATCTGCTTGGCATCCGCCGTGGACATCTCAACATTCTCGAAGAGGTAGCCGAAGCGTCGTGGAGCCACCAGCCGCCGCACTTCGAGCACGAACTCAAAACAGGCCTCCGCGGACGCCGTCATGGCCCTGCATGGCTGTCGGCCGACAGGGTGGGGCGGCCGCCGCGATGGTGTCGCATTCGCCGTTGGGGTCGGTCCGTTCGATGAGCTCCGCGACCTTCGCCGGCAGGGCGAGTGGGCTGTGCGATGAGCTCGCCGCCGCGCTACCGGTCGCCTCCACTGGCCGAATGGCCAGGGCTTGCGCCGGTATATAGCCGCCGCTGCGTATGTCAGGGGCGCTGCCTGTGTATACCGTTCGACCGCCGCGCTGGCCCATCGGCCGAGCAGCTGGATGATGGCGATGGCCACACTCCGGGCCGCCAAGAAGGTGGCGCCGGACACCCTCGCGGCGTGGCCCCCGAAGATAGGTACTCGCCGCCCGTCGGGGTGGTCCCTTTGCGTCTCCACCCCGCACGCCGCCAAGACCAGGAGGAACATCTCGATGGACGCCGCCTTCGTCCGGGCTCGGTGGTCGAGGTGGACAAGAGCGCCGAGTTGGGTGCTTTGGCCCGGCGTCGGCGGGTAGACCATCTGCTCCGCCGTCTCCAGGTTCTCTGCCGGCACGGTGACCGTCGCCGCGATGCCCAGCCCCGGGTGAAAAGGCGTCGCAGCTGCGCCGCCGCCCCTGTTGGGATCAATGACCAACGCCGTGGGAGGCACCAGTGGCGTCGGCGGGGCTTTGTGGCGGGAGCTGCCCGTCGGTGACGCTGCTCCGGAGGCCGTCGCCCAGGCTTCTTCCATAGCGTCGAGGCCAGTAAAGAATGGGCGTCGACCAGCCGACGCCGAGGAGGAGTTAGGGGGAGCCTGCGTCGCCTGCACATTCAACGCCGCCACAATCTCCCTCGCGTTGGGGGGCCCCCGTCGCGCCGAGTGCGCGGGTGTCGCCGTCCCAGAGGATGGCATCGAAGTCAGCGCCGCCACCTGCCATGTGTCAGCCCGGGATGCCAGCAGGGACGCCGCCTTGGCCTTGGTGGCGACGTCGATGAAGTAGTCCGGCGGCGCCGGTGTCACCGTCCCTGAAGCTGGCACTGAGGGCGGCGCCGAGGGCAGCGGAGCCAGCTCCGCCGTAGGCGTCGCTTTCAAGATCGTCGGGGTCGATCTGCCCGAAGGTGTCGGAGCCGTCGCCATCGGGGTCGGTGCCGCCGCCGTGGGAGAACCAACGGGCGGGGACCCAACCACCGCCGGGCCAGTCACCACTGGGTGCTCCAGCACCACGTCGTCGCCATCTTCGTCGCCTTCTGGGATGGGTGTCGGCACAAAAGGTGTGTGTCCAGTGCCGCCGGTGCCCCCCGCTGCTTCTGCCGCAACCTCCGCCGCAGCCTCCAGCGTCGCTCCTTGGACCATGCCAACCATGAACTGGCTCGCCGCGTGGCCAGCGTCGATCAGGTCGGTCATCGAGTCCGTCGAGAGGAGGCCGATGACCGGGACCCAACCGGTTCGCCGCGCAGCGGTCAAGGCCTGCGCCCACACAAGTGTGCTTCGCGACACCTGTCTGGCCTGTGCTAGCAGCGCGTTACACGAGCACGTCGAAGCGAAGCGAGCAATACAGGACTGCGTCGGGCGTGAGATTACGAAGGGCCAGGTCAGCCGACTCCTACGGTAACCGACTCTCAAACGGTGCAGCTCCGCAGAGACTGAAACTCCGCACAGAACAAGAGGGTGAAGAAGTCTGGGTATGGGCAGTACAAAGCATTACAAAGCTCACACCATCTGGAGCCTACCTTCACGGTGTGGAGCAGCGTGTCCCCCTTGGGAAGCCTGAAGAATGGAATGAAGCTGGGGCACAGCCACAGAGCACACTTCTCCCGTTACCAAGTGTGCACGTGCACTCCAAGCTCGGCCGAGGAACGGCCCATGGTAGAGGGAAACGCAGCGGAATGACTCCTTGGACAAGTCCTGCGAGCGACTGCATTTCGGCGCTCTTCAGTTTTCATGGCCAGTGTACCAGCTGCTGCTAGCTGCACAGCATTCATTCAAGCATCCTTGTCCATCATCTGCGTCCGCACCTTGTCACATTGACTTCAAGGCCACTTAGGGGTGCAGGAAAGTAAAGCAAGTCCAGAAGTGTGAGGGATCCAGGCTGGCCTCCACAATGCTGAAGCGTCGCAGCAGCAGTGGCGTGGCAGCCTGCGTCCGTGGAATCGGCTGCTCCTGGATGCACAGATGGACGACACATAGACATGGGCTGTCCGGACTTGTCACACACCATGCTGCGGAACCACAGACGCTGCTCGACGAGTAAGATTACAACTCGGCGGCAGAACTACACATCACTCCGGTCACAGCGTAATCAGGAGACAGGCTAGCTTCCGCGAAGCATCAATTGCAGCATAAGGAGAGGAGGAAAGCGTTGAGAGGGTGACACACCACCAAGATGCGAACGGCAGGTTCGACAGGAGCAGCCAGGATTTCTAGTTACATCCATCGTCACGCTTCAAGACCAATCAGACCCTGGCCGTCAAGGAATCGTGTAGCACCGCAGAAGGTCAACACTTCAGACGGAGCACCAGAGTTGCAGAGGCCGGCCTCGGCTTTGCTCGTCTCCAGGGGTGCCGAGGGCACGTAGAAGATGGCCACCTCTCCGCTGAAGACACTGTAAGTCTATACTTTTTCTGTAGAGAGATCCCGAAGAAGCGCCTCTTCCGAGCTGAGCCATAGGATAAGCAGCTGCCACTCCTTGGATTCTTGGATTAGGCCAAGATGAGCTCGAAAATACTTAGCTCCTTGCAGCGTATAGTACAGCACACAATTTCCCTGCCGAGGCCAACACGGGACAGAGGAAAACCTCCAGCACTTGGACCTGCAGACGAAGCTTTGAACAATCTATAAACAACTACTAGGTGAACAAAACAAGGAAGGACACCGCCCAACCCGAATTCTCCATCATCTGAGAACCTATCGGCACTGTTCCAAAACTGCGGACGCCTTTGCATTCGGAGGAGGCGGCAGCGTGGAAAGCAGCGCACGTGATTTCGCAGAGAACACGCGGATGGCCATGTCCTGCCAGCGTGTCATCAAGCGAGCATCTGCAGAGTCGTCTGCTAGGCAGCATGTCGCCATGGATGGCCTCCGAAACGAGGACAGCTGCGCTGGAAAGAGGGGGGCTGCCACCCTGACATGCACACCGCTTTTGAACCCCTCAGAAGCATCCCGTGACTATTAGGCCAGGGTTCGTCCCAAGATCCATAACAGAGGGCGATTCAAGGAACTGGCTGATCTTCTGACTACCATGGGAAACTAACTCCAGGCACTTGGCAGCGCACAAGCTGTGGTCCGTGGTGCTGCCGGCAGATACTCTTACGTGAGCGCTCACATGAATTGTGCCGAACCAGGGCTGAAGGCGCATGGCGACCAGCTAACGCAGTACTTGCAGCAGCATCTGTCAGGCCTGCTTCGGTGGGACCTGCTTCGCAAGCTGTCCGCCCAACCTCTGGGCTTGCAGGGTCTTGTTACGCCACTATGCTGGACTCGGCCCTACAACAATCGAATGGGTGGGCTCTTCCGACTGTCCAAAAACTCTGCCACAACTGCATCATTCAAGTCAGGCTGTGCTGCTGGCGCATCCTGAATCTGGAACGCAGGGGCTTGTGCGATTTGGACCTGGGCGTTCAGAGCAGGTTAAGATAACACCCGACACAAACGCGATCTTCGGAGCTGGATGCTGGAAGGCCGCTCTTCGATTCTGTTGAACAGCCCATGAACACAGTGTCTTGCGACAGAGTTTTTACGCTGTGCTGATTCAACAGCCACAGGGACCAGGATATAACAGCATCATCACGACAGAGCTCATGGATAATTTCATGCTCTACTGACTCTACTTCCACGTGAGATCCTTTCTTCAGGTACTCCACATGCCTTCAGTGATATTGCCATGAGCAACCAAGGTCTCCAGTCGTCTGCAGCGAACACACACAGGACGCCGTTGCCAAGACTTTTGGTTGATTGTGCGGCTGTTTCGTCTTTTCGGGAAAAGGTGCCTCTATGCGCAAGCATCCACTTTCGCAAGCGGCGCAGCTGGTCGACCACACCAGGACATGCAGTGACTGAGTTCAGGTGTGGGCAAATTTATCGACTCTGACGTCAGCTCTACAGGCTGCTTTGCTTAGGTTTTTTGCATCACCCTCAGTTCGAGGTCAAAGAATGCAGGTGTGACTGGAAGGGCTGCTTTGGCGGCGTCCCAATTCTGCAACGGCTCGGCATCTGCTTTGCTGCCATCCACGAACTCGGCTCCGAGCCACAGTGCCACAAGTTGTTGCAAAGGGCGAAGCATAGTGCGCCTCGCCAGCATGAAGTCCAAAAGCCAGATGGACTGAAAGACTGCAGGTAAGCAGCGTCTACATTATGCACCCTAGTCCGAACAGGTAGTGTGCAAGCCCAGCATTAACTCGACGAAATCACACATCCAATGTCACAGCATGGCAGAATGGCTGGACAACGCTGAAAGACACTGATGGAACCATGGCACTCAGACAAAGTGATGAGACACGGTCACAGCAAGGGCACAGGAGGGTAACCGAATATGCCCTCCAGCCAAGCGAGGGACGGTGCTCAACAGGAATCCGAACCCGATTGTGGAGAGAGAAACTCTAGTCGGATCAACGGCGAAGCAGGTCACTCTAGCAGAGCATGTTGAGAGACACTTTTCCTTCGCTCAAGTCTCAGAACGAAGTCCGAGGAGTTCCTGGCTCAGTCCCGCAGTGGCAACGGCCTTCCTCAGACACGAAGTGGGTGCTTTGGAAACTCCGATGCATCATAGACATGCTTGCTGTCCAAACAGAGTCCCCATCAGATGCGGCTCTGCAGTGTTGACAGCTTCGCAAAGCTTCTTGCAGCAGGGTCTCTTGAACTCTGAACTGCTGGCGAGCTGATCAAAGCCATCGAACGCGCGGCCCTCCACCTCTTCACAGATGCACAAAGGTGGAGCGCTTCATCGGAGTGGGCCCAGCCTGCCAGGGACCCTGCAAGTTGCAGGTTTTCCATGGCCAGGACCTCAGGCAGACGAAGAGAACTCACGTGCGCTGCGCATGGCCGCACGGTTCTTGCCATGCAGCTGAATCTGGCTCGTGTATTTCGCGACGATCCTGAGATGCCAAGCTTGGCTTTTTCCATCCTTTCTGAACTTGCACAGTCGAAGACTGGGCGCTCTTCATGCGACGCTGCAAACAGCTGTGACAATGACCATAAACATCAAAAAGCAGCGATGCCATGATTTCTGTGTTAGCCAAGATTCTCGAATGGCCTGGGTTCGTTCAGCGACTATCACTGTGACTGGTGCTAGACGTCTTGGCGGACTGACTGACTGCACATTGACAACTGAAGATGGCCAGGAGAGCCAAAGTGCCCTTCGACGAGGATGCGGCCAGGCTTGCCAAAAAGACACCTGGCACACCCAGCCACTTGGGCTAAGTAGTGGCTACAGTGCTACGGTACAGGTAGGACGCGGCAGAGACCCACCCATTGCCTGCCAGAGAGGCCAGCTGTCTTGGCAACCTCCATTGTGGACTCGGCGACTGCTGCCGACTGCGGACTGCGGCCGACTGCGGCCTGGAGGATGAACTTCTGCTTCCATGGCGCGGTGATGTGGTGCATGTACCTCTTGGCTGAGAGCTGGAGAGGCCCTCAACATACCGGATGCCGACTGCGACTGTCCCCTCTCTGTTGGGGCACATGGATGCCCGACCCAGTTGTCCGCCATCGCTCGCAATTGCGCGCAGCTCCCGCCAGCCTTCCCCACCCGAATCTTTCGAGCGGCTGAGCTCAGCAACAACAGGAAGAGCACTCTACGACTAAGGCCCGAAGCCCAGAGGCGGCCTCGATTTGTCTGACCAGTGTTTCGCGCAGGGGCTTCCTCTTCCTCCTCCTCCACATCCTCAATTTCAATGCAAGAAGGAAAGGCAAAAGATGCGACCTGCTGGCCTCCCATCTGCAAGTATAACAAGTAGTATAACCTACCTGTATCCATCTTCGTCCCGCTCGAAGTGGGGAGATGCAAAAACACTGGGAACGTTGGACTGTGACTATAGTCTGCAGAGACTGAAGAGCTCGGGAGATCAAGCTCGTCGTGTCGCGCCGGGTGGCTTTCTTGTGCTGTGTTACACGCACTTTTGTGCAACTGACAAACATGGCGGAAGAACAGAAAGGGCTTAAAAGGGTTGTAGAGCGCTGTTGTTTCAGTCTGCGAATCAAGGCTACAAAGCTCCACTTAAAAAAGTGCACAAGGAAGGGGAAGGTATCAGGCGAGGACGGGCGGCGTGTCTCAGAGCGTGGATGCCATCTTGTTGTGGAACATACAAATCCAGTTGCTCAAGGTTCCGAGGGCTGCAGTCAAGGGCTACTCGCTGCCAAGCCTCCCACTTCACCCGTGCATCGCGTCGCTGGCGCACATCGCTGAGCTTGCGGCCCTCATCTACCTCGCGGGAAATGTGCCAGATCTCCCCGCAAACACGTACCAGCAGTTTGCGACACTGTCCTGTGGCCTTGTCCTCATTGACCTCCACAGGGACGTTGCCGGGCAGTTGAGGCTCAGCCTCTTGTGGCTCGAAGAACGAGCTGGGCTCCTTGGCATGGGTGGCTTTGGCTTTCGAGCCATGCGTTGGATTTTGTGATCCGTCCTCCACCTCGGGGTCTTCCGAAGCCCATGCCAGCTCCAGGGCCGTACCCGCCGCACGCTCACGGTCCTCTCTGGCAGAGCGGTCCATCTTCCTCCCGGGATGCCAAGTCAGGTGCGGGTACGAGTAGCTGCAGAGCTGGGGCAACGCAAGACTTGGGACAGTCGGCCAGAGGGTTCTATGTGAAAGACGTGCAGGTGAGCACGACCAGCTTGAAAAAAGAGTGGGTGGGCAGCAATCGCAGCCGGATGCAAACTCAAGTCTTTATGCTTTTCGGGGGAACCTCTTTTCCTGCTGCGCCTATTGTCTTTGACTCTGCAGTCTCAGATTTTGTCTCCAGGCTCGGAATCTACAGACCCCACGCCCGTGAGAGTTCAGACTCATCCTGTTTACCGAAGCTTTCGGTGGCCTGAACTGCTGCGTCACCGTGTCCTCCAGGGGGGACGGGGCACAGCAAGCCCAAATGCTCCACAGCGTCAGAAAGGCCAGAGACATGTTGACGAGCTGGCGGCACTAACCAATCACCCGCTACCTCACGTGGCACAGAATAGACGATTTCAACAGGTCCTGGTCCACGGGCAGCCGCAAGATGAGCTGCCGTGCACTCTGATGTGCCCGGGTAGCTCTGAGGCTTCGAACCGAGGGTTTCCTTAGCTTGCAATGCAGGCGGATGCTGGGGTCGCACACACGCGGCTTATGTCTGCTCATTACTTCACTCGCTGCCAGCATGTTGAAGCTGCGTGCCTTCATGTGGATCCTCAACCCAGTCGGATGTCCAAAGCAGCTTGAGCTGTTTCATATTTCTTGATCACATGCGGAGATGGTGGTCCAAGATTCCACTTCCTGGCGCAGTCGAAAGCCTCAGTTCTTGGCCAGGCGCTCTCATGGGAAGTTGCCAGAGGCCTGGTAGTAAGTCCTATGAAAAAATCAACTTAACATCTCAATGCCACATGCTGCAGGTCTGAGGCGATCACCTGGATAAGGTTCACCTTGCGGGCCCAAGAAAAACACACTCGGCCCGGGTTGAAAGCCACACATGCCCCCCGCACTCCTAACGACAAAACACGGAGTGCCGAGTGACGAAAAGAAGGACGTCCAAGTGGTTGTCCAAGTCTCGTGGCCAGGGGCACTCGAGCTCCAGAGCATCGCAGAAGTCATGGATGCGGGTCCTTCGAGGCAAGCCACAACATTACGGCATTCTACACACCCCCGCCCGGTAGGTGCTGCCAGGCTGCAGCACATCTCCCACGCAGATGGGCAGGTCCCCTCCAGGAACGCCTTCTTGGACCGTTTTGAAGGGGCGCCGATCCCTGGGCTTTTCAAAGCTGCTCCAGTGCAGAAGCGAATCTTCCACACACAGGACAGGAAGCATCGTGCGGAGCTCGTCGTCCACGCTGGAGCGCAGGGCTTGGAGCTGGCGGTCCGGGGCCTCCGCCTGAGGAGCCGCGAAAGCGCACTCCGAGAACTAAGCTTCGGGCGCAAACGCCCTGGCCTTGCCGGCGCCTGGCATTGGCCTTTGCGGCATGAACTCGAAGAACCAAACCAGCGCTCGCAGCTCGTTTCGGCGCAAGCCTTCTCGGCTTCCTTGTGAGGGGCACGTTTTCTTCTGCTCTTCAAGCACACGATGTGTCGTGCCTGTGCTTACGAACACCTCTACTGCGTTCCAGCAGCTTGCCAGCAGCTCTGCAAGGCACTGGAGTGCCAGGCGGACGATATCTGAAAGGGCTGTATGCTGCAGACTCAATGGCATGCCACGCATCGCACCTGAAGGTCTTGTGACTGGCGGCTCCTGGCAAGGCAGCTGAGCGGAGGCTTCTTGTGCGAGTGAGCCGGGGTCCCAGGAAAGCTGGCTAGAACAGTTGAACTCACCAGCTTGAACTCGGTACGGTAATCACTGCAGTCCTCCTCCCCCTCAAAGACAGTCGGCTGGCGCAGGGCCCCGCTGGCCCACCGCTGTAGCCACTCCGCCTGCCACGTCGCAATCAGCATTCTGCTCATGCACAATGCTTTCTGAGCACAATCAACCTACCTGTGCAGTTTCGAACCTACGTAAGTTGCGGTGTCTGTTAAGCCCAGATGCGTCGCCCCGGGCAGCCCAGCGCACCGCCTCCGCAAAAATTCCAGAATTCTACAGTTCCTTATTTGGCTGACTCCGTGGCACAGCGTGTGAACTCTGTCCTTACAATGCCACTGCTGCTCCCCTGGCCTCCATGAGGAGAGCTCCTCTCCACGCCTACCATGCGTAGTGAGTCGCGAGAGGCAACATGTGTACATCAGAGCTCAACACACGCCTCCGACAACTGCAGGTCATCCAGGGTCTCAAGCGTCTCTGCATCCGGCAGACTGGCGTCCCATTGGGACCACACATCCTGGATCCCAGAATGCGCAGATGGTTCACAGGTGGTTCTCAGATGCAAGTCCGGCATCTGCCTCCGGCGTCTTCCGCGTGTCCTGCGAATCGCGAGCAGGTGTCATCGGTGAGCCGTATTGAGCCTGTTTGGTCAGAGGGTCCCCCACCTCACCCGTCGGCATGCCATGCCGAAGCTCACATGCAGGTTCTGTCGCCACCACCACCACCACCAAGATGACGTGTGCAGCAGAGGCTTTGATGATAACTCGTAGCTGCAGCTAGTGACCCCTTGTTGGTTAAGACACAGGGCGAGAAGGGCAGGAAGCGAAACACGACGCTGACTGTCGGACTGGGAAGCTCAACGCCATCTCCATGCATTGCTGCTGTCAGAACTGAAGCAGAAGCCAGAAGCCATCCCAGTTTCACTTTACTGATTTCGATTTCGCTGCCGAAGCCCGGCGAGTCCTCAATGCCGAAGAAGCTCTCCTGCGCCGCGGCACGCCGTGGCCCAGCCCGAGGCCTCGGCTCCTCAAGGCGAAAACACTTCGACACGCAGCGAGGGCGAGCGAGGCTGCCCCTTCTTGATCCTCGCTGCGACGTGCAGCCAGGAACGCCGATTCCTGTGGCTCTCTCCACTCAGCCTTTCTTTTGCTCCTCTGACAAGCTCCAGCCCGGCCTCCAGCAGGAGAAGGCAGAGAAAGAGGGCGGCCGCCGCCAGGATCGCAGCATGGGCCATGCCACCATGGTGGGAGTTTCGTGCCAGACTTGGGTTTCCGTGGAAAGGCTCCAAGTTTGAATGCTGGGAGTGGATGTGGGTTTCGGCGGCAGGGCCGGAATACTGAGCAGTTGAATCTTCCCACCAGGATACAGCTAGCCCGCCGGCACATTTCAGCTTCTGAAATTTAGTGGTCTGGGCCTGAAGGTTCAGCAAATTGTGTCGAAGGCTTGTTGCTACAGTCTGCATCCTTTGCTGAGTTTCTGCCTCTATCTTCATAGGTTCGTGTCTGACTCTACAATTCTCCAAGCCCTGACTTAGACCTAGACTGCGGGCACTGAAGGCCCGGACATTGAAGCGCATCATCGCAACGCTGGCCCCTGCGGCGCCGTCCTGGCCATGTGCGAACTTGTCACCGAGACAAACGATTGCGCAGAAAAGGCCAAACACACTCTGCGACTCTGCGCACACCCACTTAGCAGCAGGTTACTACAGCTAGTTTTGTAGTCCCTGGTGTGACGACGCTGCTAAACGGAAAATGAGACTGCAGGGGCACACGCAAGCTTGGGACGGAACGCCGTTGCTGCCGCCACCAATCGTGTAGCTGAGGGCCTAGGAGGCACGGCAGAGACCACACCAAAAGCGTGCACTTCAAATCGAAGACCTTTCTTCGGTGACTTCGGTGCCCGTGAGTCGTGACAATCTGAACAAACATCATGGCACAACTTGGCCAGTCCTGAAAGCTCAAACCACGATGGAACCGCAATCAGGAACGGACTCAACGTGATTCAGGCCCCGACAAAGTGGTGCAGCGAGATTGGGAAAATGTGCGCCTGGTCCACTCGAAAATATGCACAGCTAGCTTGGATCACAGGTGGTCCCCATCTTCCTGCAAGCCGTGAATCGTAAGCAAACCACCTGCTCACTCAGCTGCGGCGCCAGAGCTGCAATTGCTCTACAAGGCACATCAAGGCAGCCTTCGAATCCGCCAGGCCGAAGTACAGGGTGTATACACACACGAAATTCTCCATGCTCCACACCTGTCTGCACATGTCAATGCTCGTCGGCCAGAATCATCAGGCACACATCGAACTTTATCGCTCTGTGATGCTCCGACCAGCCTGCAATCTCAAGTCCAGTGCACAGGAGACAGCGAAGCCTTGGTGTCCATCAGGCAGGATTGGTGTAGAGTGCTGCGCATCATCGATCACGACAGGGTGACTTGACGACTACTGAGCAAGGCACGCTGCTGCACGTCATGCTCGTCCCGGTCGTAAAAGCAGACCATCTCGACCTGCAGTTCGTCTGGATCTTTGGAGCGTGCCATGGTCGCTAGCACATGTCTGAAAGCCTGCAGACCTGCATCTGGGTCGGGTGGTGAAACCCTGGTCTGCTCCCTACTCGTGCAGCCTGGAATCATTCTCTCGAATTGCCCTGTGCTTCGGCAGTTGGGCCGCGCCGATTCTAAGGTTGCAGCCGACCGAGTGTGACCGTTGAAAGTGTGCTCGAGCCTGCAACAACACACTTTTTGCTGTCAGCACACGGAGACACTCGAGCCTGACCTGGTGAAAAGGCCATCACCGCTTGGATCGCCGAGTTGCGACTCGAAGGCCTTGCAATGAGGCACTCATACGAGGTAGACCCTTCTGCAGCCCCATGCTCTCCCTGCTTTTTTGTCTCCTGCCTGAATGTTCCAAAGTTGCACTGCGCCGCCGCTTGTGCCTCAGCGTGCTGAAGAAAAGCTTCTGGAGTTTCGGAAGTCCCTGCAGGGTCAAACGTGGATGCTTTACAGACTATAGACTCTATGACCTCCTCACACAAACCAGCAATTGGAGAAAGGTGCATAGCCTTGAGCCTTGGGGCTCTGGCCTGTCAGTAGCTGCGCCTTGCAGTCAAAAAAGTAACAAGGGCAACTCTTGCACTGTCCTGCCATCATCACTGCCATCGATTCCTCTGCTAGGTGCCAGTCAGAGTCAGAAACCCTTTGCATCTCCAAGCCTTCCATCTGATAGCCTGACTTGACGAGACCGTGCCCAGGTAGGCACTGCAGACCTCCGAATCCAGGATGCTTACGACAGTTTCCGGTCTCTTTGCGATTCGCATCTGGTGCTCTGCAGCTCTGAAGCAGAACCGCTATCCCTGCTTTTGATGCCACACCTGCAAACACACTGCAGTAGGCTACCGTAGGCAGGCCCCCAGCTTCTCGACAGGCATTACATTAAGCTCCTGGCAAAAGGCTGGTTGCAGGAGGCCATGAGGTTCAACTGGCACAGCATGCGAGAGCTCGTTATCTGCTCAGTGACTGCGCGGAAGCTGGTATGACATTTGCGCTTTCTCGTCAACCGCAGCAGAACTGCCATCTGGTGCAATCCGCTTTTCAAGGGTACCAGCATTCCACTTTCCGCATGCAAACTATCTCGAACTCAGCAGAAAAGTTGTGCTGCTGCCTCATGGTCCAGCACCAGCACCGTCTTCAACTCTGCGATGACCACCCTGTCTCATGAAAGCTTCTCTTCTGAGCTCATCGAAAGCGTGGTAGAGGATGCAAAAGGATGTCAGGCATCGCCTGCACTATACACACATTAACTCTACACTTTCCTACAATGCTATCGTCATGCTCCGAGCTTGTGGCAACGGCACAACACATGCTATTGTCTAGCCACAGCCTTCCCTCAGCAGCCACCACGATGCGATGGACAGGCTCAGTAGTGACCTGCATCTGCACTGCATTGTGAAGGTGTCTTGTAAGCACGCACTGACACCACCTACCGTATCATACATACCCATGTGCGCCTGCTTGATCAAGTTCAGCTGCAAGTGATACCTGCAACAGTGTGGACAGCAGGCAGTTCGCCGTTGAGTCACGTGAGACTCCACAGTAGTCCGGGGTTACAAACCGAGTCATTGAGCTGTAACTACAAGAAATGATGTGGCACGCGGTGGTGCATACACAGGAACCACCGACCCCGGCCCTATTCTTCACACGGTATCACCAGGGACAAAGCTGCTGCTGTTGAGAGCAGCGGTCGCACCAAGTCAACAAAGACTGTACGTCATCCAACACCTTCAAAATTCAACACCAGTCAGCTTGTGGATATCATAAGGTTGTGCTCCCTATATCCCCGAAATACGGAGCCCGGGGCACTCCAAACCCCTCAAGCGGGAGGTGTTGATCCGACGCTCACGAGACTTTGTGAGCTGCCACCTTGGGATGCAGCAAGTGCAGAGACTGGTACAGAGCTGCAGGAAGCCGATCTTTGCGGCCGATTCAGAGTGCTTACAGCGGATTAATCCAACCAAATGGACAGAGTCGTCAGCAACACATGATTAACGACGGGAAAGTGGGACAACCCCGAACAGCACGTGCAGGACTGCTTGCAATTTTCGAGTGCCCAGCAACTCGCAGCCACTCTCACTGCCCGCGAGGATCTGAGCTTTGTGAGCTTCATAGGCTTTAAGGCCAGAGTGGCTTGCCTAAGCTGACCTGCAGCCTTTGCGCATGGCTTACATCCTTGGCTCCCGTGCAAAGCTCCCAGCTGCCGGCAGGTAGGCCAGGGTCGTGACCTTCAACTTAGGTACGGCCCACATACAGTAAGAGTCTATAATAGGGCTACTATTAGGTCCCAACACACATCTACATTATGAATACAGAAAATAAGACATTACGGGCCCCATATTTACAGCATTACTGTTTTTCATGTTTTTGGTTTGCTTCAGATTTGAAGCAACATCACTCGCACACGCGATATCGTTATCCTCATATGCATATTCTTAAATAGGATACTTGTATGTATACCCATACATGTGCTTGTTTCAACTGTCGACGTGACTATAGAGCAGGAGGTTTGACTCACTTCTTTAGGCCCGAAGGGCGAGAACACTGCTACTAAGGGGAAGGCGGGGGGGGGGGGGGGTGCGGCGGCCGAAAAAAAAAAAAAAATCTGGAGGGGAGGGGGGGGGGGGCAACGCAAAAAAAAAAAAAAACTAAAATCAAAAAATCTATTTTTTGTTTTTTTTGGCGCTGCCCCCCCCCCCCCCCCCGCCAGATTTTTTTTTGTTTTTTTGTGGCTGCCCCCCCCCCCGCGCGGGGACAGCAAGGCAAGCGACAGCCAACGCCATGGTGCGCCATACTGCGGGAGCGGACACCAACCAAGAGCCACATGATTTAAACCTGGTGTCCTTAGCCCTTAGCCCATGCAAGCCTCACTGCAAGTGAGTAGATACTCTATGCCGAATATTAAGATCAGTGAGATTACAAATTTACCAGATAAACATCTATAGAATCTATAAAAGACCTCAGAGACTTACTGCGTATAGAAAAGTCGATATCTGAGATTACAGCTCACAAAGATGATAAACTATTTCTGACTGATGACATCATATGACGAGGAGACCTTACATTAACATACATTCGATGGATGCGAACTCACGACACAACCACTGCCTGAGCAATGCCAGGTGGACAACCAGTTGAAGGGTCTGTCGTAGTCAAGCGATAACAACAATGCTTGATGTCGCATATGATGTGGTAGCATATGCGAGGACATACGGTCGGTATATATGCTGGATGTCAGATACATGTATGACCAGTCTCCTCGATAACATATACAACAAACACTGTCTTCGCTTTTCATTGACAGGTTGCGATGTAAGGAATCCGAATCCGACTATCTTATAGGTGCATGAAAACGGGAGTTTGAATATTCCACTTGTGCGATGTTCGAGCAACATGGTGGGCTCTGTCGGGGAGTTTACAAGTGGAAATCATTATTGGTTTATGTTCCTGTGATCAGGATCGGCTACTCGCAGTAATCTGAATATCACTATACCAAAACCGGCTAGATATGGAAACAATATATCTCATGAGCACGTCATGGTGAAGTATCAATCTTCACGTGAACCATGCGCATCATAGTATGATATGGCGTAACACACTCGTGCGCATGTAGCATGAGGTGCTAGGGAGATGCCATACGAGCTTGGCAAGCTCACGGGATGCACGAGGACATCTAAGTCAAATCTCATAGTGAAGATATGTGTCATGAGATGCTGCCTGCATCTTGCGACCTATTCATACTTAGCTGTGACTGTTGTAACTTCATGCGAGATTGGGTTTATGTGTGAGAATAAGTCTCCGGGCTTTTAGAAAGGTCTACCGAGGGGTTTAACCAATATGTGGTGCAATCCCGCTTGCCCGCGCGGCCGGAAGGCGTAAAGGGGGAAGCCCGAACGATGCGGGCATCTTATAAGGACACATACTGCGATGATCTATACGGATGGCTCAATATCATAATGATATGTTGAAGAAATTTCCTGGTGCTCTATGTTGATATGGCCATATTCAACACATAACATGCCTTTTACATCGAAGGAATGTGGCGAATATCCTGTTCAACTGCCGGTTGGGTGCCTCATTATGACGGCCCCATTACTCTTGCCAAAACTGGCATGCAGCTGCCAATGTAATCTGCCATGTTTACTTCCACCACAAGAGATACTTGACTTCTTGATGATGTCACATATTAAAATGTTGGTTTTAGGCATAGTATAGTTCTTATACGTTTTCGTGGGTAACAAGATTTAGTTTACGGAGATATCCACAAGACACACGATGAAGTGCGTCATGGGCTTTAACAAGACCATATTAGAATGGTTGCGGCATACAGGTGCATTGCCTGCAGCATAGATATAACAAGCGGTATCGTTTACAGCTGATGACAATCGTATGTGCGTGTCGGTGTATGTTTGTGTGTGCATGTGCAAATAATGTGTTTTCACGGCAGTCAACTTATGACTAGATGGTATGAGCAACAAGACAGCGAAAATGATTAATATTGCAGGTGGATCTCCATATGTCTGAATATACAATAATGATAGCAAAGCACCATCTCCTTGAAAAGTAAATTAACTCAATTATATCCTTATCCTTTGGGGGCTTGTGAGCTTCAGCCGCAATGATCACTAATCTGGATAAGCCAGCATTGTAGCTGTCAGCATGTATACAGCAACATCCATGCGATGATTGTCTTCGAAGGTCGTAGGTTTTCAGTTCTCTGGGTTGGCTTCTGTGAGAAGCTATTGCAATTGAAATACACAATTCCGCACACACAGCTCCAAATACTGGACAAATTATTGGACTGGGAGCTCCGAAACAAGGACAACCAATGCAATAATAATCGCAAACAGTAAATACACTTTTGAAGGAGGTTGCACTAAACAAGCTAGCATTCATACGAAAAAACGGTATCGAAACTGAATGCAGCAAAGACATCTATGCACATATATGTATATATGTACATATGCAAATGGATCCGGTAACACGATCCAGTTGATTGCCTGCATGTATACAGCTTGAGACGGTGGGAACTGTTTGAGCAACCTGCCTGTATGATGCCAAACTCAACTTGTCATGCTACAGTCTGCTACAGTATATGCTGGACGTCTATATCCAAAATCATATGTTACCATGCACATGATGGGGCCTGCAAAAACCGGTAGGATATGTAAGCGATTCTTTACGTTGATATACAAAAGTTATATAGCTTGACCGGTCTTGTACATCATTCAAGGGTGGAGAAATGCACGGTTTCGCAGACGCATTGTATCTCATTTATCTGCAAGATTATACTATGAGACACAAAGAACAACCACAAGATTGAAGTGGCATTGATTTATCGGATAGTCTTCATGAGACTCCACAATGAAAGGTAGTCACACGTGCATCCCATGTTGATTGGAAAAGTATTTCCCATATCAGGCATCAAGAGCAACAGGGTTAAGTAAGCTTGAAAACCCCTAGTATGCAAATTATGACGATTGTAAGTTTTTGTAATGAAAACTCTTAGAAAACAGCATTTTGACTGGAAAATATGGGGCCCGTAATGTCTTACACTCTCCAGAAAATAATATTCAACTATTATTGAGTGGGGGCGGTAGCCAACCTTCAACAGAAACTTACAGAGATTTGCAGCTCTTCGCAGAAGTAGATGCCACAAAAATTGGCGCAGCTTGCAAAAAAAGTGCACTAAAGCGCACCTTCCGGCACGGAAATGCCCCCTTTTTACTCTTGAGCGGCCCCGGCCCCCGGCCTTTCCGCTCTTTCCTTTCGCCTTGCGCTCCCCGCGCCCATCGCCTCGCAGCTCCGCCCGCTCCTTGCGCGGCACTCTAGGTAATACTACACCATCGTATCTTGGTACATTATTACATTATAGTACATACTAAACTATATTATCTTATTACTATAATATATCATCTTACTACTATACTATATATTAGTACAGGAGTACCATGTTATTTGGAGCGCTTGCTTTCGGCAGCTGAGGGAAGCGAAGGTATGCTTTGGAGGCACTCAAAGGATCTAGCGAAGGCAGAGACAGAGCGGCGATATGTACAGTCCTAACTTGGGAGGGGACCCTCCTTTACCACAGTCCCCACAATGCGAGGAGCAATGGCAGACAGCCCTGATATTATTGGCCTTTACCGCGCTGGAGGCACGCCTGCTCGAGCGGGAAGCACTCCACCAGATCGAGGCTCAGAGAATAGCACTGGCAAGGGACGTTCAGGATGCAAAGCCAACGGAAAGTCAATGGACCGAATTTCACCGATTAGGCAAAAGGATCTTGCAAGGGCGTGGCTTCATGCTCCATCGCTGCAGGCTCCTGCTTCTTTTCTTCACCTCTCTCGCCCGTTTGCTCTTGCCCCGATCGCGGGTACCGAGTCGAAGAGCCCGGTCCCGGTCCCTTCTACAACCTTGCTCCGCACTCAGCTCGACGGGCATGCGCAGGCGCTACGGCATAGCCCCAGGTCCAGGAACAGTGCAGGAGCCATCAGGAGCCATGAGGAGCCTTCGAAACCCTGTCCCTCTGCTGGAAGCCACAGCCCAAGAGCACGTCGCTGGGCGTCCAGCTGCCTAGCTAGTTCGGGATCTGCATCGCTGTAAGACGGTATTTCGGTTCACAGTCGAGAAGGACACGTCCTCGCACAGGCACGGAGCCGGCATCATGGGCAGGTACATATCTTGGTGACCAGCAGAGACATTTGTCGCTACACAGACATTTATACATACCTAGAGTCCTAGAGGCATTCAGGACTCGGCCTGCCTTCGCGCATGCTGCACATGCCGAGGCCCGTGAAAACGACACATTCCCTCAATGGGGTCCTGTAAGTCCGGGATGTCACCGACTGTTGCAAAAAGCTCGTCAGTCAGGGGAGTGCTGGCATCCCGGTACATGTTCACCTTTGCTGGCAAACTGACCACAACAACATAACTTTCCCTAGTCCAGCATTGAGACACTCGCAAACATCGTGTTGAGAGGTTCACTTAGGCACCCCCTGACTCCCCTCGACCAGTCGCGGAGTCCAGCGGGCAAGCCGAAAGCATGTTCAAGGCATTGTAGCTCAGGAACACGAAGATGGCCTCAGGGCGGGACCCTCGGAGCCCTACGAGAGCCCTAGGCCGGCGGCTCGGCAGCTGCGCTTTGCTCCTATCCAAGAGCTTCACAGTGACATTTGCGAAAACCTCCTTGCCAAGAAGCCAATGGGATGACGTAAACGGGAAGTGCCACTCCCCACCACCGATCTGGATAGTAGGTGATGCCCCAACTTTGTAACCTCGCGTTGATGACCGGATCGGGGGGGGCTCGAGTGTTCCGTCGGCTCCTTTTATGCCTGGTACACCCTCTGGTTTTATATCTATCTCCCCCTTCCTGTGCTGCCAGGGCACCTCTCATCGGGTGCGAACACCCACAGTAGCCAGGCCTGGGCAGGATTCAAAGGGCTTCACGAAACACCAAATAATCTTAGCTAGGCCAAACATAGGGAGCTTTACAGCTGGATTTTGCACGCCCGAGAGGTACTTGAGCTCTGCAGTCTACTGCTTCTTGAGTGTCAGTGACAGGCCAATCAAAACACTCTACATTGCGGTCCCACAGATGCCTATTACCTTCCACACTCGAAACCCATGGACATGGGAATCCTCAAGTGTGCTGAAAAGGCTGTTGCGGTCGAGACTCAAGAAAAGCCAGGTGCGAAGCGAGGTAGCTCGCGAAGCTGCGAGCCTTGCTGAGGAAGCAAAGAAGCTTCTGCGAAGACCAGGCTATGCACACTTAGACAGTCTTTGCTGCCGCAGGCCTCGGTTGCAAGCCGATCTGCAGCCATGGTGGGATACGTAAGTCTTGGAGAGAATGTTTTCTGCCCAAGGCAATGGGTTTTGCAATGTGTGGATTCACGCTTAGCGCCCCAATGAGGTCTCGACGCTCGTGAACCGCACACCACCGTCTGTTCCAACTCCTACAGAGCCCTCCGAGTGAGTATGCGGAAACCAGCTGCAAGAATGCAAGGAACTCTCAAACGCTGAAGGATGTGGTTGTAGATTCTGAAGGCACTGTGGCTGGTGACTGCATCGTCTGTTAAATCTAGCATCAGCGAGGCAAAAAGCTGCGGTAAGCCGAGGAGCACAATTATCATGAAGCGCCAATGCAAAAGAAAGAGTCTCCAACCAATGGTGTTTCCCGACATCCCGACATGCCAGCAGCGTACCTTGAGCGTCATGTCCACCTGGTCTTTCAAGGCAGGCAACCCCGAGCCGAACTTCCAACTTTTGACTGCCAAGCAGTCTCTTGCATTGTCCGCGAATGATACCTACCACGACCTTGGGCTGATGAGTCGGGGCAAGCGAATCATTGGGAACCAGGCAAGATTGCTCTGCAGGTGTTCCACAAGGCACTTTTGCTAAATGCCACATGAGGCCGCTGCATGCAGCTAGTCACTGCTCCTCTCATCATTGGCTATAATAACGGCTAAGAAGATCAGAACGCGTGGCGTGACTAGAAAACACAGCATGCCTTTGTCCCCAACACCATCCCTGCATTTCAGCCTCACCCGTGACTATCGTCGAAAAGTTCGGGCAGAAGGTAAGCGCGGAGACCATTGACCTGAGAAGGCGAGACTTCCAGTGACGCTGGCTCCGTGGCCTCCTGTAGACTCGTTCCCTGGCCATACTGCCAGACAATTTTCCCAAGAACGCCAGCACAGCCCCGCAGCCCCTTATAAAAACACACAGTCAACTGGTTCTCGCAGGAACCTGTGCGGGACAGCACGCAGCAAAGCGATATCTTTTCCCTGGGCGCGCACCAGCTCGCTCTCACAAAACCGCGCTGTTTCATATGACTCTACAGGAGCCCACACCACCGTCGGGTTCTGCACTTTGCATCCCAAAACCTCCTAGTGCATCCACGTACCACCTGACACATCTTTGCGTATCTGGAGCACTGCGAACAGTCTTAGGGCTTCCATATTCGGCGGTGGAAGTGAGGGAATCATCAACGCGCGTAAACGCACGACGTCAGAATAACGGCTTGATCTCAGAGTTGAACTTACCTCAGTTGCAATGCTGGGCAAACTTTCGATTGAAGCATGCCACACAGACCTCATCGGCAACCTGCTTGACGGTAATACATGGAAAACCGGTATTGGTACCTTATCCCGGGTGCTGCTTTGCAGCTGTCCTGCCCCAAAAACTGTGCCAGTGGTCCAGATTGAGATAAGCTTCTCTCTTCGTAGGAAGTCATCGAAATCTGCCTGCAGAGAGGTACAGCAAGGAGTGGTGGCAGGACAGCTAGAAGCGGTGTATCATCGCCCTATTCGCGATCCCTCTCTGCAAACTAGACATGACTTGATCCATGGAAAGAGGTGGCGTTGGCAAGCTTGGGATGACGTATTGTACATTCCACTTACGCAAGTAGTACAATAGCTGACGAGGAGGCGAAGAGGGAGAGAGAGAGAGAGAGAGAGAGAGAGCGAAAGAGAGAGAGAGAGAGAGAGAGCGAGAGAGAGAGAGAGAGAGAGAGAGAGAGAGAGAGAGAGAGAGAGAGAGAGCGAGAGAGAGAGAGCGAAAAAGAGAGAGAGCGAGAGAGAGAGAGCGAGAGAGAAAGAGAGCGAAAGCGAGAGAGCGAGAGAGCGAGAGCGAGAGCGAGAGCGAGAGCGCAGAGGGGAAAAATCCAATGTATATACTGATATACTGTATGCATGTGTGTATATATGCATATGAATGATACATGTATATCTTTCTCGTAGGCTTCAAACACGGATTTTAGCGCGGGCGGCCGCCTGCCGTCGTATTTTCGGTGGCCCATGGCCCTCATGATCTTGGTGGCATCATCGGTCGTGGAGCACTGCAGATAGACGTCGCCTGGACCAGAGGCACAATGTTGCTATCAGGATGCCAGTTAGCGCTCCTTTCTTCCAGAGGACATAGCAATTAAAAAGGTAAGGCAGGTTTCAACAAACCCGAACCCAAGCTGATGTCAAATGTAGCTTACAAGCTGGACGCCACGACAAGCTCAGCAAGGAATTGTGACTGGGCGCACGCGTGCCGAATCCCTGAATCCGGAGGGTCCAAGGCCTGGTTTCAGAGTGGCATTGCCACTGGCATGTGCTGGCTTCACGATGGCAACCTGAGCGTCAAGGCACCCGGGTATCGAACAAACCCGTTTGTAAGCACCAAAAGCTGAATGAACATGAAAGTCTGAGGATTGTGGCCCGTTCCAGTGCAGACAAAGAGCCATAATCAGCTTACCATGGGCCCCGCAGCCTTCCGCCATGTCCTCCTTGACATCGTTGTAGTCGTCCTCATAAGGCCATGGCATGGCAGGAACCACCTCTCCCATGCAAGTGACTTTGCCTCGGTCGTCTTCTCGTCCACCTTGAGGATCTCATCGATCCGGATGATGGGGCTCGTGGCGCTCACCTGTCTGTGCAGTTCTGTTGGCAGACGACGCCGAGTGGACTGCCGGCCTGTGCGCTGGGCAGTGCCAGCATGCTGGCCTGCTGGCCTCGCTACGGACCGGCACTTGGTTTCAGGGTTGTGCGTGCGCCGGTCGCCATACGCCCCAGGCCTGGAACTTGCATGCCCACCGGAACACCACCGATCATGCCCAGTGGGCTGACCTCATGATGCAACTTACCGTCTTACGCCTCAGTGCAGTGCAGCTTTGCCCTGAAATCGCTCAGTGCTCTACGGCGTCGTTGGGTCGCTTGATGGAGACCGGCACTCCTGGCATTGCACAGAAGGTCGCATGCCATTCTCTAATTCTGCTCGCTGCCCCCAGCCTAGGACCAGCATGCCGTCCAGCTGGAGTGCACGCTCTGTCTCCTGCACAAGGAGACCACGAAGCTCTTGCGCATCAAAGCAGAGCTTTACAACGTGAAGCTTCGGCCCATATGCACAGGGCTTTAGGGCTTTACCACTGGTTCCGCCTCCTGTGACGCAACCTCGCAAAAGCCGTAGTTCGCACCCTTGTCTCGGGCGAACCAGACGTGCAGCACCTTAGCCGGCAAAAGGCCGTTGGCTGGAATCTGCTTCCGGAGCCACATTTTGCCGGACATGCCTTGAATCTAAGTGGGGCTGTTGCAAGAACTGAGTCAAGGGCGGGATTCTGATTCGGATCGTTGCACATGCCGCGGTCGCGCATCGTCTCGTAGAGCTGCTTCGAGAAGGAGTCCTCTCTGAGTTCATGCGCAACGCCCCCCCCCCCCCCCCGGAGAAAGCTTTCAACTTGGAAGTTTGCCCCTGAGGAGCTCTGCGCCTCTGTGACACCCAGGTGGTACGGAAGATTGCCTCAGTCAACAAGCTCCCGGTAGGTGGCCGCTGGCAGCTGCAGCAGCTAGCATGCATGAACACTTTTGGACCGCTGGTCTCACGCTTCTTCACCGATCTCCGCCGAGTCTTTTTTCACGAGTTTCCCCACTTCGCTCCGCAGCTGCTGAGGTCAGAACCCAGATACAGACGACGATTCTTGCGGGACGCATTGACATCGTTCGCGATGCCTGAATAGCAGCTGCGGGTTCCACTGCACATATCAGACTCGGTAACACACGCGGCAGGAGAAGTGATTGGCAGCAGCAGCAGCAGCTTCTGCTCCGACAGTGCGAAGCTGTCAAGTCGAAGCCCGAAAATTCTCCAGACGCAGCCTGTATCTGCTCGGGGCACCCACTGGAAGCCATCCCAGAACATACCTGAACTTTCCATCGGGCAGTCAGCACATGCACGAAGAAATAAGCAAGCAGCTCTGGCAGCTACAAGAACAGCTGCATGCAGTTATCTACCTGATGCGCAGTTTGCTGGCACTTTGAAACCCTTGGTGGCTTCTGTCCCCGACTGAGGCAGGAATTGGCGAGACTTGTTTTCTCCAAGCGTCTCTGTCCTCCCACACCACCTTCACCTGCCTGTCGTTCAGAAATGACGCAAAAAGAGCAGCAGGCAAGGTTTTTTCATGTGGACATGATCATCAAACGCCCATGGATAGCAGACAAAGGCGACACGAGCCTTTCTGTTCTTGTTCACGACTTGCTGCTGCTGCTTTCGTCGACGCTTCTCACGCCTTGGCATCATCGTGAAATAACTCAGACTCGCGCCTGCATCACTGCCATTAGAGTCCTCACGTTTTCACGGGCGCGCAACTCTGATCTTCCTGGTAGTGGCTCAGGGCAGGAAAAAACGGAAACTCTAGAGGCCACCTCGTGATTCGTCATGCTTGCACGCATTAGCGTTCCAAGCATGGTTGAAGCAGATAAGCACTGATAAGCAGATGTACAAGTAGAAGTTGTGCGAACCACAGGTCACAAGACGTTGCCTCTCCGTCTTTTGGAGCCGTCGAGCTTAGCACGCCGCATCCCCGGTCTTGCCATTCATGCAACACTTTTTTCTTTTGTCATCTGCAGACCGGGATTGGAGCTCTACTTCGTCAACATGGCGAAAGACTGTTGCATCCTTCGCACGGCAACTTATGAGATGGCCAAACACTGCACAACAGGGATCTGCATTGAGAGATATCTAAATCAAGTCCTGCACGACTCGGAACATGCTGACAAACATTGCAGCCCACCCTGTTCGGGCCATCAACATCCGGCCAATCTAGCCATGCACACTCAGAACACCTTTGCCTGCTGTTGCAGACTTGCGAACCTCCGTAGACAGGGCGAGAGGCAAGCAATGCAGACAGCACCGGCAACACCCGCAAAGTCCCTTTCCCAAGCTTATGCGACAATGGCAAACAGGATTTCATGAGGAACAGCAAATTTGAAATAGAGAAAGGTCGCAAGGCCCACCGCTGAAAGTCGCCGAGTTGCCGCGCGTCGCTCGCGCATTGGCTCGGCAGCCGCGGACGGCTTACTGCTCGGGGCGGCTGCCTCAGATCGACTTCAGGACCCTCCCAAGAGTGCCCGGTGTGAGCTGGCCCCTTCCATGACGCAGGCCGAAGTGACCATAACGTTGCATCGACATGGGGTCAGACTCTCAACCCCTCAAGTCAAACAGGCTGCCGAGGCTTCCGAAGATACACGCTTCGCGGCGAAGATTGGCACGGCCTGGGTAACTTATCAGATGTTGCTCCGTTGCTCAGCTTGCAACCTGCATTCGCCAGAACCCAGTGTGCTGTCCCTGGTCAAGGCTCCCAAAAATTTCTATCGGTGGCGATCGGATCGGCATCTTCGATCTTCCGATAGCGGCACAGCAGGAAACTCCCTTCTTTTGAAGATTTAAAACATGTGCCTGCCACATGCTTGGGCCCCGGCATGCTCGGAGCTGGCGGTGTTGGAGTGCACCTTCATGCAGGCGCTGAAGCTCGGTGGACTGAGCTTGCATTCCGTTTCCAGATGTGAACTGCTCAATACACCTTAGCGCCGTATCGTCTTCTGGGGGAAAAAGCTGGTAAGCTCGCACACAAACGAAACAGCGCATATACATTGATAATTTCGTATTTGCTATACATACCTCTATATACACACACAGAGTGAATGAGCGACTGCGCGAATGCATGCATACATTCGTGCATGCATCGCCTGCATCGGTGGGTGGGTGGTGGGCTGGCTGGCTACAGATTCAGGACAAGGAATCTCCACAAGCCTAAACGCCTGCACAGACACCTCTTGAGAAGCAGCATAGATCCGGGTGAAACCGGGTGATGCGTGAGTGGCGTAGTGGGTGAAGGTTTGTGCTGGTGCAAGTTGGGATTGTGCGCGGGATGCTGTGGGACATTGTAACTGTTGCGTGGATGTGGGTGGTAGTCCTCTGGGTTGGGCGTGTTGCGGCACGACGTTGATTGCTGTGGATTGAAGGATACCTGCTTCTCCTCTAACTAGTACTCCGGATGGGGGAAGGATTGTGTGGGCATTCGGGACAATTACTGCTGCTGAAGCTGATGAACCATTCAAAAAGGCCGCATAGCATCGCGCAACAACGAAGTGGAAGGCTGTGATTGTGGGGTGTGGCTGTGGCTGAAGAGCGGCTTGCGTTCATGCTGGCATCATGGGTGGATGGCTGGCCGCAAGCTTCGTCTGTCGCTTCAATTGGCTGAGCACCCTCTTCGTCTTGCAAGACATGGCAAGACTGATGCGGATGTCCTGCCCTGCTGCGTGTAAGACGTTGCCTGCTTGCTTTGCAAAATTGTCTCAAACCTGTGCATGCACAGGCACACAGGCACTTGTAGCCACAGACAGACAGACAGACAGACAGACAGACAGACAGACACAGACAGACAGACAGACAGACAGACAGACAGACAGACAGAGGCAGCACTGTTTGCGAAGGGATGAAAACAAGCAAGGCCTGTGAATCTGCAGTGGCGGCGGCCTGTGCTCACAAAACTTCAGTTGCACTGCAGGCTTGAAGGTTGCACAGGTAAGAATTCGATACGTCGTGAGTCTACCACTTTTGCAGTGGCAAGGTAGCCTTGGCCGTCTTTAGGAGCATCTTGGACGTCACTGCAGAGCTGTTCGATGCGGCCTTGTCGGGTGTCGGGCTTCGAACTTGGTGCAAAGTTTCAAAAATATCCATTCCTAAAAAACATGTGCATGTAGTTGATCCTGCGCCTTTGGAAAAGATCAGGATTCACCACCACGGATCAGAGCCCTTTGGTACGCTAGGCCCCGCAGTCCTGCTGCTGTTGCAAGGCAACTCGCTTTGCGGCGAAGAGTGGCACGGTCTGGGCAAGCATTGGCGTACTAAACTCAAGCAATGCGATCATGGTGAAAGCGAGTCTATATTGTAGGACAGGAATTGCTGCATGATGCTGCTATTCAGCGCCAAACTTTTGACACCAGCATGAATCACATAATACCGAAGCAGTCTCTGATGTCTTGCTACGGTCGATGGCGCCATCCCACCCATGCTCGGGAATATCAAATCTAACCCTGACATCTAGATGTCAGCCAGGATGCACCGAACACATCGCTTGCTTTGGCATTTTCCACTGGCTCCTACCAAGCTCACAGACTTCACAGCTTCCACAGGCTAACAAATCTTCTCCGATTGCCTCCTTGGGCTGTGCGTACGCGGATGCCAGGGTCATTGGAGGCTCTGTTGGTGCAGCTTTGACCTCTGAAACGACAACGGCAGAAACAAGGACACCAGCCTTCAAAACCATGGTGGCCCGCGATCCCAGCCTTCTCCGAAAGCACGGCTGGCTTCGTTTGTGCCAGAGGCAGCAACGACTGTGGGAGCGGGAAGCGGAAGATCTGCGCGGCTTCTGCCCGGTCCTCTGCATCTAAGCTTACTGTTGAGAGGGGTGCAACTGTGCAAACTCCATATCACACCACTATCACAGCACAAGCCGGGCACCTCCGACAGCAGATAGAGGTTGCTGCCCGCACTGCACATGGAGCTCCACCTCTTCTGCGCTGGCAGAGGATATCTCTGCACCATCTTGCCTCACCGAAGCACCGAAGCTTATGCGAGTCTGCCAGTTGGCCCCGATGCGATACGAGCACCCAGTGATCCTCCAAGTAGTTAAATGCACTCAATGCTTGCCTGACTGGCGGAGGTCGAAGACGCGCAGCTCCCTCCCTCCTGTCACCAACCTGGCTGCGAGAAACTCGAATGCACAAAAACACAACTTCGCAAAACAGAAGACATGGCAGCGACATGGAGCAGGTGTGCTTGTCTGTGCCGAGATGCATTGCCAAATAGCGGTCGCCCAGCGTGTGGAGAGCGGCGCCTACGGTTGGAGTCTTCGGCGGTTGCCGACCCTTCCACATCTGTCTCGGATGCCTATGCCTTTGCGTTGTGGGATGAGATATGGTAAGCATGCTTATGTAGCACATAGACTCAACAACTCAATCTTGCACACATGTCTGTGATGCAATGCTGGTCGCTCCTTTCCGCATCGCTGCACGACCGACATCTGCCAGAAGAACTCGGGTCGGCAACCAGTCCACAGAGCCTTGCAGCAAAGATCGGAGAGACCCGCCGCCCCATCCTTCCGGGCCCATCCCCCCATCCTTCCAGGCCCACAGCACCTTGCACCAGGCCAGACTTGAGCTCCACAAGACGCCCACCCGTGGTCTCCGCGTAGGCACAGCGCTCTGAACCTGGGAGGCCAGGAGAGTTGAGGAGGTTGAGGTTGTGAAGAGGTGTCAGCTTCGGAGAGCCTCGTCGAGCCTTTGGCATGGAAGCCCTGAACATATTGCAATCCAGGCACCGCTAATGCAGCGATCCATCATGGCCAGGGATGAAACCTTCGTGTACGGTCACGATCCCCTGCACTCTTCGTTGTGCACAGGGCGCAGATACCGGCCCTGCCGCTCGCATGACTAGCGAGAGGCCTCAGGCCTTCCCCAATAAAAGCTTGATGAAATCGCCATGCTTGACATTCCCGATGCCTCCTCCTGCGACTCGTCGCGGGCTGCATCTCCCTGGCCCAGCCATGTGTCACCAAGTGACATCACAGCCTGACAACTCGGGACGCTCAGGATTAGCATTTTCTTTGGCAGATATCTGCTGGCTTTCGTGCCCGGATGGGCCCCGGCCTCCGGCGCCCGAGCTGAGGCGCCCAGTGCGCAACTCGCCAGGCGCTGGCCTTGGCGGTGCAGCACCTGGCGACGGCGGAACGACGCTGCACAAGATGTTCCTGCACACTTCCTTGAAAGGCCTGCGCATGGCAGTCGTGGCCACTGCATATCAGGCTGAGGTCCTTTCAGACAGCGCTTCTTTTGCCGGTTTCTGTGAAAACCGTTGCCACATCCATCCGTCTCCTGCAGCGCCTCACCTTCCTCGGATACAGAGAGCAAGCACAAGAACCAATGCAGGGGAACTAGGCTGAGAGCATCGCCCCTCACCGACATGCGGCGCAACTCAAGCCGCAATCATGTCGAATCGTATGCTGCCCAGGCTTCCAAATCGTCACAGACAGGAGCGAAATGGAATTCGGCACTGGAGTTGCCGGGGCTGCTGGCGTTGCTCTTCCTTGCCGTCAGACGAGCTGAATAGTGCGGCACGAATCCAAGCCTCTCAGTTTCAATCACAGTGCCGTCGAGGTGCAGGCCAGTGTTCAGTGTTGCCTAGCGACAGACGCACATTGCTTTCAATCAGAAACAATTCTTCGCGACCGCGAAGCCTCGAAGAGGCCGAAGCGGCTACTGGCAGCGAAGCGCACAGCGCCATCCGCCGATGCACATGAGAGGTGCCTGGCAGAGCCACACGTGCGGCGGTGGAGCCACCCCGGAGCGCTTCGCGCGCGTCGCTCGCATGTCTTCAAGGGCCGTTGCAAACGGCCTCGGAGAGGCTCCAGGAGGCCAGAACGTGGCGACGTGCTCCTTTGCGCACAGAGGGGATGGAGACGGGAGAGCGACAGAAGCAGACAGAGACGAAGCAGTGCGAGGAATCATATGCTGCCATGCATCTCCACGCAAAGACTCGGCAATGGGATTTGGCTGGATAGCGGCCTCTTCCAGCCTCATAGCTGCAGGCACTCCAATTGCCCACAGCTCCAACAGAAGCGGGTGAGTTTGCCAGCCACGAGACAGAAATGACGCGGTCTGCGTTTGCTCGATTGGCGCAGGCCCCTCCTGTGGCCCCAGTTCACATGCTGCATACCACCACGCTCTTCGAAAATCGCCATGCCATGACTTAGCAGCATGTATCTTCATCACAGAGAACTTGCTGGCTGCGTGCACCTCAATCAAAAGCCTTCCCGGCTAACAGGTCAAAAGCCCTGCACCTCCGAGTCATGGAGAAGCGGCGATACGCGCAGCGCAGACCATCCAGAAGACTCGCAGGGGCTTACATGGGTGCACATGCCACCCTTCGGAACTCTCTATACGCGACCATCCACGATCTGCCATGAGCTTCCCCTACCTGAAGCAGGACAAGCACTCCGGAGATCCACCAGAGGACCAGAAGCCTCAGTTCGCAAGCTGTCCAACTTCAACGCAAGCATGGCATCTGCCAGCTTCGCAAGAGACTGCCTCAGCCACAGGTCAAGCGGCAGCGTGGTCGCTGAGCAGAAGATTCGCCAGGGCACTACACCCGGCTTCAGATAAGGGTGAATGTCCTGAACGAAGCCCCCTCGAAGGTGCCAAAGCAGAAGTCCATAAACCGCCTGTTTTGAATCGTCTCAGCAAGCAGTCCTCTGCGTGATTTGCATGCTGCCCATCCTGCCGTAAGAGCTTCGGGCTGCAGGCACAAGCAACATCGCGCCGCTACTCGATGCACGTATATTCCGTCCTTCTCCCTCGGGACAAAAGTAGTGGGATCGAACATTTCCTCGGTTCACTCACTTGCAAACCGGTCCTAGCAGGACGGAAAAGGAGAACGCTGCCAGCCCGAATCACTCCGCAATCAGGTGGAGAACGGGGCATCCTTCCTGTGTCACAAGGTCCTACCACCCGCATCTGAATTCGGCGGGTCACTTTAGTGGCCAAGGTCTCTGGAGGAGGCTTGGCAGCACCTGCTTCAAGCTAGCATTGCAGTTTCAGCATCACTGTGTAGAGTGGCGCAGCATCAGAAACCGTGAAAGGATGCTCCATCCCCCAAATTAACGAACGTTCCATCCCCAAATAACTGCAATATGCTAAGACTAAGGCATGGGATAACAAGGTAACAACAACATAACATAGTGTCACATAACATAATGCTATATCGTAAAGTATAGGATAACAGGATGGAATAAAATGCACAGCTTCGGTGCATGGTTCATGCTTTTAGACATATCACATGCGATATGGTATATGCACAGGTATATTGAAGAAATGGTATAATGCAGGTTTATCTGATATTAGGATCACGTGGTCTACGAAACATGATATGCGAGCTGTGACATCTGGTATATCATATGAATCATATGTGATGTCGTATGTGGTGTAGGACGAATCTTCATCCATACTTATACTTATATCTACATCTATGTCGATATATGTATATATATATATATATATATATATATATATATATATATATATATATATATATATATATAAACATATATATATATATATATGTATAATATATATATATATATATATATATATATATATATATATATGTATATGTATATATGTATTTTATATATATATATATATATATATGTATATATATATATATGTATGTATGTTTATATATATATATATAGATAACTCCACACACACACACACATGTATGTGCATCGTGGCATAGATGTTTGTCATGATGTGATATGTTGTTTGGTTTGATATTGAGCATGTCGACATATGATGCATGGGAACGTTATGTACAAGAATGTAGTAGGGATGGTCAAGGCTTTCCTTTTGCCACTGACAGCGCCTGGCAGCAGCTCTGGCCGCCGCGGAGCTGGGCCTGCAAAAGTTTGATTTTTGCGGTTTCGCAGCTTCGATTCAGGCGGAGCCTTCCTGCCATTCACACAAGAAGCTGGAAACGGATCTTGCAAGCCGCTCGTCCAAAAGTCGTGCGCCCAATACATGGCCCTTCCGGTGACGAGCGATGCATTATGTTGATTGGGATGGTGGTGATCAAGTCGTCTGTAGAGGGTCGAGGGTCAATTGACAGAGGCCAGAATATGTAAATTTAGATATACATGCACAATGATTGCCCGTCAAGTTCTTCAACACCGCCCTTGAAAACTGACTCAGATCCCAAAAACCAAGGCACTCCACCGTTCGCTTCAGACTCACGACCCTGTGAAAATTCCAGAGAGTACAGCAGTGAGCAACCCAGCGCCATTGTGGTGTTGCCTTTCAAGATGCTGCCATCGTAGTGTACAGCATCCAATGCTGGACCTCGTCCCGGCTGGGGTACCTTGTTTGCCACGGGATATGCCTGCTGAACCGCCGCAACTGCCAGTGTCTTTCGGGAGAAGTCCTGGACGTGCTAGAACAGAGCTGCCCAGGCACTGCAGCCTCTGCGGGCGACGGGAGGCGGCGTGTCTCTTCGGACACCCGCGGTTCCCAGGGGCTGGCCTGAAAGACCACAAAGGCTTCCCAAACAAGACTTCTTTGGATCTGTGGAGATTCTATCCGGTCTGGCCGCCTGGCCTGGCCCTCCTTCTGAGCACGAGCTCGTTTGATCCAGCCGAAGACGTCAATGTACCTGACTGGGGGCGATCTCTCTTTCCGTCCACACCCGACCCAAGCGCTGAAGAGCTGCACGCTGAGAGTCCTCCTTCCGGCCAGGTCACATCACTGACCGGAACCCGGTGGGAAGCGTCGCTCCACCTTCCTGTTCTTGGACCTCTTCAGACTCAACTGCTCTTCCGTCGCCATCTCTCTCCCATCGCAACCTCTCGCCTTGCAGATGTACAGCAGGAGCATGAGCCAGGCCGCTTCGGCTGCATAGGGCAGCGGCGCCAAGAGGTGCACCATCTCGTAGCCCTTCACCTGGCTGTTTCGCAGTGTCGAGTTTCGCTCCTTTGGCTTGGGCCACTTCCTGCACAAGCCCGAACTCAGCGTTTAAGATTAAGTCAAGGCCACCGTGTGCAGCCGCCACTGCTGGGCCGCGAGGGCAGTCAGGGTTGGCCCAGCGAAAACCAGAACCTGGGACAGGCCCAGCGAGGATGCGCCCCAGACCCAGGGAAATCAAAACAGAGGGACCGGTCCTGTGCACTGCATTTACTTCAAACCACCGGTTTGGGCTATGACTCCACGGGCGAGCCTCCGGCATAAAACTTAATGCACAGCTGTCTTATCTCCCCGGCCATCCGCCTAGCTGCCTGCGCATTCCCGTTTACCGGGTCCCTGATTTTCACGGCCCCTGTCGGGATTCATGTTCATCGCTCGACAACAGTGCATTGATGCTTAACCTTTCCGTTCGAGCTGTGGGGTCCAAACTTCCAGATTCCAGATTCGCTGCACCCAGTCTTCCAGCTTCTCCACATTTACAAAGATCAAGTTTCCCGAATTCAGCTCTCCAGATATGTTGGACGTAAGTCAACAAAACCTGGATTTCGAGAAGTCTGAAATCTCGAAGCTTGATTCGGCCAGACAAACCTGGATGGAAGCTGAGAAATTCTGTCGGCAAGACATCCGGAAACTGAAAACTCGGTGCTGCAAGAAAAAGAACCTCTCTGAAAGCTGCAGTCTCACAATGTGCGTCCACAGTAAATTTGGCTGACCTGGCAGCCACAATCTGAGCAAAGCGGCTCCTGCTTGTGTAACGCGTCTAGACGTAGAGAACCGCCCAGATTGGACTTCTTTATTTATTTTGATTGTCTAAAGAAACCCGCATGCTGGGTCGGCCGCACAGCATTCCAGGACACAAAGCGTCCCTCTGCCGAATAACACCGATCTTCCTCTTTGTCCCCCGGAGGTAATTGAGGCAAGAAGCCATAGCCGCGCGGAACTCAAAGCCGGTGAGCGACATGTCCAAACGAATCAACCTGCAGAGAGGTGAAAGAACAGTCTTGCTTTCCCGGAGACTACAAGATCGGCTGGAGCAGGCGTGGATCTCATGGTCAAGAAACGCAGTCGCAATGACCATGAAGAGGAGCACTACCAACCAGCAGGCGATGATGGCCTGTGCGACATGCAGGCCACTGCATACCGACTTGGCTTCAGGTCCATCACGTGTCCACTGCTCGATGCAACCAACCTGGAGCTACACTCCCCATATCCTTTGCCTTGTTGGAAATCAACACGTAGCCGATCACCTCAGCTGGACCGCACGACATGTCGGTCCTGCGATGCTGGTTTCAGTATGTCGATGTGGATAGGCGGGAGTCTCCAGGGAAGGCACTCGACAATGTACTGCAACAGAAGTGAAGCTGAGTCAAGCAGCATAGTATGACAAGCCCAAGATCAACTGATTGGTGCCCATGCTCATCGCCACACGTGCGAAGCCATCGTAAGACCTCAAAATCTTCCCATGCCAGCTGCTCTGCTCAGCTACTTCCTGCTGAAGATATGTCAGCCCAGGGTCTGCCAATAGTGCATCACCTGCTTGATCAGCTGCAAGTGACGCTGAGATGCTGGATCTGTACCTTGACAGGATTCTAGAAAAGGTCTTGCCCAACAGAGTCTTGCATGCAGGAACGCTGCAGGATGGCTATGAGTGAGGCAGGCGTGTCTCAACTGACATGCAAAGCCCAGCGACGGAGCTTTCCATCTAGCTCGTAGATCTCTTCCTGGCCAACCCAAATGGAAACGGACACAAGCTGCTGCCAAAGAAGCCAGGCCACTCCGTTGCCCTCGAGGCCCCAGAGGTCTGCAGAGACTGCCGGAGCACCACCAGTGCCTGCAGAAGTTCGAAGCACGGGGGACACAGGCGCTTGAAAGGCAACGAGGGCTCATGGGCAAGGGACAGTGCATCGCAAAAGTGCCGTTCAGGATTGGAGATTCAAATTTGAAACTCTGCACGGAGCTCTCATCTCACCTTTTGATTCCTTGCTTGTGGGATGTGCTGATCAGCTGGCTGCCTCGATGGGAGCACATGCCCTAGCGTGTGCTTCTAGGCGATCCATGTAAACGACGATCTTCAGACAAGATCATCTTCCGTTGCACTGCCTGCGGAAGATCTAGACATGCGCAGGACTGGCTAAATCTGTGGCTGACGGAAACTCCTTCGAATTTCAGTGTCTGCACGCATCTGCCAATGCAGGTGCATCAGCGCGAGTCCGCCTGTACAAAGCAGGGTGGGTAGCCTCAGCTTTTTGGACCGCGCCGAATAAATAATGAAAGTCGAACCCTGCTTTGCCAAGTCGTGCCCAGGCAACGATGAGGTGTCCTGCTCGCTAGTCTGCATTCCTCCTGCTTTTGCTTGGGGATTGAGAGGCTGTGGGCAGCCAAGAACATCACCGAAAAAAACCCATTGAGGGCTTGGGGTTACACCGGCATCGCCAAGTCTGGACCACTGGGCTTGGCAAAGCCTGACTTACCAAGCTGAATCGCACAGCATGGAAAAGCATAGCAGAAGCCGTCAGTCAAATCCAGGACTCTGCTATGAACCTAAACACGCCCTTTCGAGCGTCGAGGTGTGTCCCCGGATCGAACATGCCGCACCCAGATGCATGAAACGTCTGGCACGTGCCATCCACATGATCAAGTTCATGTGTCAAGATCACGCCTCAAAGGTGCTTACTTCATCCATGGACTGAAACCTGGCTCGCTTCTTTTGCACGATCTCTCTCAACTCATTGGGGTAAAGCGTCACGCCGTCGAGAAACTTGTTCATCCTCCGGAGATGCTTCCTGAGCTGGTACAAAGCCAAAACCTGAAACGTTGCCTTGCGTTGGCGAACCTAGAAAACCAGAGAACGAGCCAACAGCAGCTGTCTTGCCCTTGGCAGACTGCCTCCGTGAAAACCCGATATCATCAGCTCGGGCTCTCGTGCAAGCGCCGGCCAGGGGGCAGAGGGACACCTCTCGGACACAAATTGTCACATCAGAGAGAGTTTGCAGGGGCAGCTCAAGGCGTTCTGCACCCGCCGTCGATTAAATGTTGAAAAGACTCTAGCACTGATTCTTTGTGGAAGCTTCTGGTATATCCCGCGTGTTGAACCAATTCAGACGATGGTCAATGCCTGCTGCATGTCAAACTTTGCTAGAGCGTATGATCAGGTTCGGCACCGATGCACATGGTTCCAGCCTGGAGGAATTACGTCCTTCGGTGGTGCAGTCTCCCACATGTACGAGCAAACGCTCCAGGACTCGTCGTCGTCGTCTTCACCGTCCTGCTGGACCCGTGCGCACAAAGACACACACAGTCTGTCTCACACATGTTTGCACTGGTTGCTCACCGATGTCCAGCCAAAATCCAAAAGCCCGGAGGTCGTCAAGCTCGTTGTTCCTCAAAGTCCTCACATGAGGAGCCGAATCTCTTCTGGAAATCTTGCCCACTGGCCCAATCCGTCCACAGTCTATCTACAGCATCGCGCATTCCTTACGATCCACTTTAACATTTGAGGGAATTGGATTCAAGGCACAATTTGGTCCAAGATGGTCCAAGGAATTCGCGGGAACCTTCGGTATCCTTCTTGGGCCGGGCAGCTAGGCTAGATGCCAGGCTCCGCTTCACCCGCAGTCATGCACGGACGCACGTCCTGCCACTGGGCCTGAATCTCTCCGTTTCTGCACCGAGATCTTCGGCTGCTTGAGTCTGAGTCCTCAGGGGATGGGAGAAGTAAGATGTGTCAGTCGTTTACAAGTTGGGAGAAATCGTTTCCGTCCTGAGCTCGAGGGCGTACTCATCGTATGCGACCGAGCCGGAGCACCCCATTGCGACCAGAGAAAACAACTGAGAGTTACTGAGCGGAACTAGACATTGACAGACGCTTCTCCTAACAAGCAGTGTTGCAAAGGGAATCTCTTTTGCTTTGGCGTCTTGAACCGAAAAGACCTTCGTGGATCCTTCGAATACTCGTCCGTATCGAACTCAGGGAGTGCCGGAGAGCCTTCGGCCGCGCCCTCTTGGTTTGTCAAAGCTGGAGCTGCAGAGCTCGATGCCTCTCCGAGGACCTGAACACGAAAATGCTCAACACTTGCACAGAAATTTCATTTCCGAGTTTCGGGAAAACTGTCAAAGGCTTTGCAGACTGTAGTCGAGCGGCTCGCTGCTGCGATCCCATAGCCTGGAAAGCAAGACACTCTCCTCACCCTGTCATTATTGTTTCTGTCCCCTGTGGATAAAAGGCCCAACCGCCATAATGCAACCAAGCGGCAAAGGGAACTCGAAACATCCTGAAAAGTCGGACTGCAGGCGTGTCTTGATGAATCCCAGGTATGCTTCACCATGATCTAGCTACATTTATGCAACATCAAGCAGACCCCACAGCAGCAACAGCTTGCTCTGCTCCCTCAGACTCCCCGAACAACGACATCAACCCGATCTGAGCCAGGCATCTGATTTGTCTTCGTTTTCTCGAAGGTCGAGCCATACGTTCGCGCGGCTTCCTCAATATTGCACGTATGAAGCTTATGTTAGAAAGCCCCTGCTCTTGTGTGTGGTGTCTAACTTCAGACCGCTACAGTAAGGCTTCATTTTCCAAGCTCTCACCTCGTCGAATGTTCGCGCCGTGGTTGTATGGTTTGCTGGGTTTGCCAAAACCCTGGCTGCAATGCTTCACAAAAGTCATAAAAGAGATGGCCTGACCCGGAAACTCAGACAGGAAGCTCCAGAACCTCGCACTGGAATGCCCACTCCAAGTGGCGAAGCCATCTTGCGACTCCCCTCTCAACCGGAATCACGGCTTCAGCTCAAAATCGCCGGGCGCAGCCGTTGTTGCCAAGGATCTAGTTGCGCCCAGGAAGGCACTGGCAGTCGAACGAGCTGGGTTAGGAGACGTGTCTCCTGAGCTCACTTTGCAGCTCGCACTCCCCTCGGAGTGTGACGAGCTCCCTGGCGCTCATCTCACTTGTAACGCAAACGCCGGAAAATCTGGCAAAGGCTTACAGTGCTGCACGGTTTCGTAGCTCTTGGCCGTGACGGAAGCATGCATGGAGAACCAGACCTGGCAAAAGCAAACACTTCCCAAAGACCAGCCAATCAACACTTCAAATCCAGGCTGTTCTCGTTTCCGAATGTCCGGAGACGAGGGCTCGATTCGGTTAGCTTTTCTCTCTTGACTGAGCAAAAACAGCTTTTTCTTTGGACTTACCAAATGCCGCCGGGCAGCAGACATCAGCAAGTACATGAACGCACCTGCAAGGGCATTCAGCATCTGAAGACCTGGCTGAAGCCGTCAGTGGCTCGGTACTCACAGGCCTGCCAGCGATAACGTGTGGCAGCCAACGAGCCAGGTTGGGGTTCCTCAGCATAATTCCAAACATCACTCTCCATGAGAAGCTCGGATACTGTTACATTAGGCTTACTTCGCGAGGCAATGCATTCCGGAGCTAGAGGGGATGAAGGAGGTAGAGAAACTCGCTGGCCCTTTCGATGGCAGCTGCTACTGGCAGGAGGCAGAAGCATCTCCTAAACCCTGCCTGCGGCTTGGGACAGGCACGTTCCCGACGTGCATTCTCAAAAATCAGGGCACGAGACAAACTTTCGGGTACCTGCCTCTGCAGATTGACCTATCAGGCCTGAAGGCCCTGAAAGTACATGCAGGCCCAAAGCTTAATTGATGCAGTTTCAACGAAACATCAGTTATCACGCCTCCGACCATAAATCGAAACTGCCAGCAATGCCACTTCCCCAATGCGTTTTCAAACCACGCAGTGACAGAGACCGCGTTGCCAAGTGTCCGCTGGCCAGGCGGCCTTCACAGAAGGCCATGACCGTGAAGCCTGCGCAGCCGAGTCTAAGCCGGTTGGGGTGTGGGAGGCTCTGCAGCCGCAAGTGCTTGGTCCATGTTGGTGGCTGCTGCTCGAGGCCTAACTGCACAGCATTCACGATCAGGTAAGTGTCCATTTTCACCTCAGACGCTCGTCCCACAACTACTACGGGATGACCAGCATGTCCACAACAGCTCTGAGATGTCAGGCCCATGCATCAGCAGGCCTACTGCAGTCGCCGCTTTTTTCTAAAGCACACCGCAAGCAGCCCGCCACCCCGAGATGCTTAAGCTGAAGACGTACACGCCTTTTTGTTGATGTCCTCTTGGTGCCTAGAGGCTGAGGTCAGGCCGATGATGTCTCGGACATCTTCTCGCCAAAGCTCTGCCTGCTTTATTCTGAAATCCATAATCCTCAGTGCCACAGGCCGCCCGCAGCGATAGCAAAATTGACACACATCCTCGAGCGCATGCACCCAGCAGGCAATGGAAAGGCTCAACCTGAACCCTGCCAAGCTCTGCCAAGTTGCTGGTATTCCGTTTCCTGTGCCGCAAGAAGAAAGCTGATTGTGCACTAGCCGGCTGCTCGGACATTACGCTGCAACATCACCACAGTGTCACCGACGAACCAGCACATCCCGCCGACCTGGCGCATCTTCCTGTCGTAGAGATAGTTTTCTCCTTATGCACGCCACACTCTGCATGAGCTCAAGTCGTCCGGCACGGTCGCCAATGCAGCTTCCGTTGATCTACAAACTTAAAACCCCAAAGCCCCAACCACCCGAGCCGAGCCCCGCGCGATTGTAGCCAAAGAGCGTCCCTCCAGCGCCCGCCATTGTGGCAGCGCCTGCAAGCCGGATGGTGTTGGGGTGCCGGGATCCAGACTGGCATTCACTCCCGATGCTCGGCTTCTCAAACGTTTGGGCAAGTGCGGCGCAATACGCAAACGACTAGAAGAGGCCTTGCAAACAGAACTTACAACCTCTGTGCCTGTTCTTGGGCTGCGTCTTGCGAGATTGTGCATTGCTGCGCTCCACGCTGTGTTTGTCTCATACTCTCTCGTCGCACGCACCAGCAACTGCACAGGAGACCTCGTGACAAATGCCTAACGGCTCCGTTGCACGGAGCTTCAGGTTGGCATACTCCTCTGATGATTGAACTTCATGGCCGCATCTTGAGGGCGAGTGGACGGAGTACAATACAAGGCAAAGACGACTGTAATTGACTAACCTATGAAGATTTGCTGCATCCAAAGAGCAAAATCTCTGCCTGCCCCCTCTGGATAAATGCATCATCCACCGCAACTGCACATCCTATAGCGTCACACCGTCAAGACCCATGCCAGCCAATGTTCATTCTTTGTAGGCTAGACGGGGTTGATCTTACAAAGCGTGCATGTGACTATGTCCTTATCGACCAGGTCGTTGCACTTTTGAAGAGTAAGCCGGGCTTCATGTTGTAGCTTGCAAACCAACGAGTTCCTGCTGAGGCTTGGCTCAACCCACCTCTGAGTCCGAATCAATTTCAATAGTGCACGCCTGCCGCAGCGAGGAGCGGCATGGCGGCGAGGTCGGCAAAGGGGGCAGTTGGGTATGACCTGCGCGAGGCCAAGCCATGCGATTCCGGACGTAGTCTCGGCATCACAGATCTGAGCAAAAGCTGTCAACTTCCGCACAGGGGATCCGCTTGGTCACGACTTGGTGGCAAAGATGGGCACCTTGGTGCAGCCTTGACTTTGCCGAGGTGCGTTAACATTGGAAAATTCGTGTATTAAGTGGATCCATAAAAAAAGTTCGTGTATTGACAGATCCATAAAGCAAAGGGGTTGAGCCTCCACGTTCAACTGCGACCAGAGAGATACAACAGCAATTCTATGTGACATGATGTCCGGAACCGCGGCGGAAGAAACGTCTTCATGACATGGTCGGATGGAGGCAACCCAGACCAGCAGCAGATCACGCCGGATAGGGACGTCCTGCTCTGTTGCTCTATGACACGTATCACTGCTTTAGCTAAAAGGTGGTTCCACTTGGTGGAACCCCAGAAGCCAGTTCTGGACCGACAGGGCAGCACTGTAAACACACTGTGCCCGGGGGGCCGGTCCAGCCCGGCCCGGGCGCCCGCTCGCCTCCACCTGGCTGCGATAGCTTTGCAGTCACTGAACTCTGAGGGCAATCATCCCAAAAACATCAAGTCTCTCAATCGATCTGCTCCGGCATTCCCTCCTGCACTCGACTGCTGTGCATCTCCGTCTCCACAGCTTCCGCAGGATCAGCGTCACTCTCTTTCCATGCCGCCCGTGCGAAATCCCCGCGAGCCGGGATGGCCCGATCCGGTCAGAAGCGGTTCAGGGCCATGAGGGACTCCTTCTGCATCACAGCCTCAGACCTCATCAAACCAAAGGCGAGCCCGAAGCATCAGGTACACCACCCACCGACAGAAAAGAAACATGAGAAATACTCGTTAGCGCCCCAAGACGAATCCCTTTAGACCACATAGTCTGCTGCAGTCTTGCTGGTAAGACAACGATTTTCCATCTGCAATCCGGTCTATCTGCACCCAAGCGTCATGGTCATTGACTTTTGCCAGGCGGAGAATTCCGGATTGACTCTGTCGGGCAGCCCGAAAGTTTCGTACAATCGCTGGCCTCGGCTCAGGTCCAGCCGTCTTGGCGAGAGCAAAGCCCCGACACCCAATCTGCCTTGCACCGAAGATACAAGCACAGTGACAAGATGTCAAAAGCCGTCAACAGAAGTTACATGCCTTGCACAACCAGGTCACTGAAGATGTGAGGGTCCTGGCCTGGGCGTGTGCAGTCTGCTCGCTGCAATTGGAGTTGGAGGTGTAGTCGTGTGTAGCCAAAACCGTGCCACGAGTACTCTTACACCGCTGCTCGCCCGTTCTAGCTTCAGACGCTTACAGCGAAAGAGCGACAGTCTGCGAATGATCGAACTGCAAATTGCAAGAAGCGCTTCCCTCAAACCCAACATGCCTGCTTGCCAAGGAGCCGAACATCTCTGCCAGTCTTTCGATTGCTCGGAGCCCCTCTTCGTCTTCCTCAACCTCGACTTTTCGGTACTTCCCTTGTGGGACGCCGAAGCGAAGTGAACTGTCTAGCTTCTGTTTTAGAGTTTTAGAAAGATCTAACGTGGTCCTTTCCGGCGCCTCGTGTCCCAAGGTCTGAACCATGCCGGCCAATATCCGCCCGCCGGGTCACAAAAAGAGGAGGTGAGCACGTCCCAGTCCCGAGTCTCCTTGCGTGGCTGCAACGGTCATTGAACTTGCAAGACCTAAAGATAACACAACAAAGATAACATGTATCCAGTGCCGGCTCTCCTCAAACCTGTAGTACTTCTCCCAGGCTCTGGGTCCTCTGTGATGAGCTGTGTATCCTTGCCCGAGACGGCACGTAAGCATGAAAACAGCGCACTGAAGGCGGCCAGTGTAGACCAAACATCGCCGCATGTGCTGCAAACGTGCTTTGGATGCCCTGCCCTGAAAGACGAGATTTCAGCTCGCTCTTTAAGAAGCCTGGAAGTCTACAGTCTACAGCTTCAAGCAGTTGCACAACTCAACTCCTCCGCCACCGGCATGAAGCCGCTCCGTGAGGTTGATAACCGGCGCGCCCAGCTGCTCCTTACACCCACATGACCAAGGAAGCATACTTGTGGTCACTTGTGGTCTGTGGGCAGCAATAGGCGAACAGCCAAGACGTGTTCTGGCAAGTGCACGATTAAGAGACGATGGTTGTGCAATGTTCTGCCAGTTTGGCATGGGATCGAAAGCTCGACCAAGCGCCAAGCGACAAGCCTCCGCAAATCGCAACGGTAAACGGAACATACGGCTTAAGCATCCTTTAACATCGTCCAGTTTCTGACCGACAAAGGATGAGGCTCAAGAGTGAAGAGTGGCAAGCCCTCACCCCACCACAGGGCAGGATCGGTGGGATGAAGTGACAGGACCCTTTGGACTGGCAGCCCAGTCATCCTTGCTTAATCTCGGCATGAGAAAAAATGAGCAGACGGCTCGAAAAAGCCTGGCCAAGTCGTTCTCTTCTTCGTCGGAGCCACGTCACAGAGTCAAATCGCGAAACTAGAAAGACCGGTGCACTTACAACTGATTTTCACAGCAAGCTCAGATCCTGGCTGCGAGCAGCTGCAGTGATTGCAGTGCTGGGGTTGCTGCTTCAATCAAAAATTGAACTTGTTTTGGCAGTAGAGACAGCAATGCCTCGCAACTCACATAGCATGCCGAAGGCTCTGACCCTACCGCAGTCCCGGCGATTCTTCAACACCTCCCCCAAATTGCCTCCAAGGACCCTCCAGACGAGCAAAGCTCCCACAAGCGTTTCAGCATGAAGAGAGACCCACAGCACAACATGCCCGTGTCGTTCATCCCCACTATCGAGGTGTCGGCAAGGTGACAGAATTGGTGTGTCAGATTTTTGGCGGGCTGGCCCAGCTTGGGGGCCCGGCATGTACTGCAGCTCATCAGAGTGTCAGCCGTAAGTTGCAAGTATGCATAGTGACACCATGTGACACCTAAGGAGATATGTTGCATGTCAAGCATCATGTGGCCAACGATTCAGGTCAACGTAACTTTGGCCAAGTCACGCTGTCCTGGTGGACTCCACACGCTGCCTTTTTTTATCAAGACTCAATTCCAGCAGGGACTAACGCTCGCGCATGCAGACCACAAGTCGAATGCAAACACCCTGCAAACCGATCCCACCGACCGTTCTAAGTGTGCGACACTGGGATGTCTGCAGCAGGAGGATTCCCGGACTTCTCTGGCCTCCCGCAGAGTGCAGATCATCAGCAAGATGCGGAATCAAGCTCGTCTATCCTAGCCCCAGACCCTAGCAATGACGTGCAGACCCGGGTCTCAGACTGAACTAACAACCCTACTTCGCCAACGACTGCACAAGCGGAAGCTGTTTGCAGCTCAGTTTCTGTAAACCAGGCGAGCCAGCGTGCATCTCCAAGGATCGGTGGAGCGGCTCCTCCTTGTGCAGTGCAGTCCGAAGCAAGATTGGACTGCCGGAAGCTGCCTCGACGATGATCCGAGCCACTTTGGCCTTTCGTTGAGTCCGATCCTAAAGACTTTTTGGAGTGGCTCTCTTGGCCTGACCTCTCTTGAATTTGCAAGCCGAGTTCGATGAAAGAATGGCCGAACTCTTTTCCAACACAGCCGGCCAAGGTCCCGCTGCAAACCATGCAGTCCTTCCCCGACCCTGGATCCAACGCGACCTCCTGGCACTCGGGACGAAAGGCAAGAGACATTTCAGGACATGCTACTTCTTTGGCGGGACGGCCTGCTGTGCCTGTGATGCTGTCCGCATTGATCAACAGTCATGCAAATTGTACCATAAGTGGTGCAATGTCTCGGTCGATGGTGCCTCCCACTCCTCCTGCAAAAGCTTCGCCCCAAAGAAGTGCAGGAGCATTGAGCCAGCCACAGACATCACGATCTCAGAACGGCAAGCCCCCAAGATCTTGTGTTAGTGCGGGCATGAACCTTCTTCTCGGCATTGCAGTCCGAACACTTCCCCTTCCTTGCGGCCCGGAAACAATGTACAGCCGCGAGCTGTCGGCAATGAGGCTGCGCACCTGCGGCACTCGGAGCAAACAACTAACAAGCATGCAGAAGCTTACACGCAACTAGCTCTGCTTGCCCTGCATCGACTTCTCAGGCGGAGATCATGGCACATCATGGCCTTGAACCTGTTTGGCGCCAAGGTGTCCGAATGGAAGAAGCGCTCGTTTTGCGGGACGAAACCTGAGCCAAGCAGATGAATGCACCGGGTTGTCGTGCTCTCCTTGGGCCTGATTGCATTGAGCTCTCATACAAACCCAGATCTCTGCCCCGAAACTCTTTACACTTGCACCTCACGTGCGGGCTGGATCCCCGCATGTCACCCACCAGTGGCCCAACGGGAGCCCTGCACTGCCCTGCAATCCTTACAAACTTCCAACAACCAAGACTTGTGCTCGAGGGAAAGAAGCAAACCTCCAAATCCTTATCATTGTGTGCGGCGAGGCCTAGAGCTCCCTGCAGCGACGCCCGCGGCAGGGACGACAGGAACCTTTCGACACAGACATTCTGCACTTGCAAGAAGCTACCGCATGCCCACACTGACAGTTGGCAGCCGTGAGGCAAAAACAAGAGCATCTTCTTGTGAGTGTGAAAGACCGGCTGTAAACCAGTCCTCGGCGTGATTCCACGAAAACTTAAGGCCTAAGTGCTCTGAAAAGTTCGCAAATAAATGCTTCAGCTTCTGCCATGCTACACATGATTGGGATTTCAATCATGAAAAGTACACTAGCGCGTTTTTGTGTTTGCTGTCGTGCCCGGGGCCGGGGTGCACTCACTCACTGGCCTCCTGGGTCCGTGCAAAGACAGCAACCTACAGCAACAAAGCACTGGTTCCCATACATGTACATACAAGCACCATATCGCATGCACGCATGCCTGCATGCATACATCCCACGTACATACTTCCACACCCACATGCCTACACACCTCCCTACCTACCTAGCGACCCTACCCCAGCCAAGCCAAGACAAGCCAAACCAAAAACTGACATAACCTACGTCCGCGCATGCGCTCGTGGACATATACACATACATACATATATATATATACATACATACATACATGCATTACCTGCATACATGACCTACCTCATGCCTACATACCTGCATACGTCCATACCTACCTCCATAAATACATTTGCATACCTACGCACTACGTATCCACATACCTACATGCCCACCTCCACACACAAATCTATACATACATGCGTGACCTACATATCTACGTACCCACATACCTACCTGCATACATACATATATGCACGGGAGAATTCCGCTATAGGAAGCTGTAAGGGAACGGGGCTGATGGCATCTCAAAACCGAGACCTTTGCTATTCAACCCCAGCTGCTTGCCGCTGCTTCCGAAGTGCTCCAGCCAGTGGCATACCAGGATTGCGAGAGAAATCCCACAGAAGCGGCACGCGAGGCCGATTACGAGCATGGGAAGCACCCGCGTGGCTTGCACGAAGACTGTGACGTCCTAGGCTGACGAATTTGTACATTGCGTCGCTTCGCAAGTTTTGGCCAAGGTAACAGCTCCCAAGCCCACTAACATGGACGTCTTTCAAGCTAATCTAAATGTGAACCGTGCAGGTGCACAGGCACCCAGACCCCCGAGAGGCTACGGAGCATGCTTTTTCTGAATCCTATAGCCCGGTACGGAAGCAGCACAACTTCCCACATCCAAACTGCGCAAGCCTTGCGTTGAGGCAGTCCACACACGTGCTGCTGTGGAGTCATTGTTTGACCGCTTGCTCAATTTAGCATTGCCGCAACAAGACATGGCAAAGTCTTCTGCGTCGCAGAAAGGATGGCACGGTGGGTCGGATATGCCCACCATGCTTAAATGAACCACTATCTGAATTGCAGTATGGAGATGCCTGCGTGTCGCCTCCCTTTGACAATGCCCCTGTCAGCCTTCTACAGCTCGTGCATCATACAATGTCGCCAACCTCGTGCCCTGAGAAATGCTACAACTCCAGACAGAGCACGCTCCTGATAATCCAGGTTCCCATGCTTTGCAAACCCTGCTAAACATGCGGTCTATCAGACACTATGGTGCTTTGGATGTTCTCCGTTGTCCGCTCAATGTTTGCTCCAGGCAATGCCAATCAAAAGTCCAGCTGCCAGTCCGCACTGCAACTGTCCAATGGCTGTGTTGGTCTGCACAAGACGCTGCTCTGCCGAGCAGCTATCTTGCTGCCGATCATGCTGAAAAGGAAGATCTGCCCAAAAACCTGAGATGAGTGGAGGCCAGCACACATCTTTGAGCGCCCCGCAACAAGAATTTTGTCGTGCACTACGGGAGCAACAGCAACCTCAGCGACGCTCTGAGCTACCAAGGCTGCCAGCAGTCAGGCAGCCCAGACTCCACCTACTACAGCATCCAAGTTGTTCTCGCGATGCCCGGTCAAGTTGGCTTGACTGAAGGAGCAGCCCAGCCTCGGATGGCCGAACTCACAGGCAGCTCTGCACTGAGCCGAGGTTGACAGCCACCGAGCTGCAAGCCCCCGAGCTAGCCGCCGAGCTGCACAATCACCAGCAGCTCTGGCTGGAACAGCGAACCCGGCGCGAAGCCCATCGGGACAAGTGGCGTGCCGCCCGTCTCCTGAAGAGGGGCACACACACTTGACACATCGTGTCGCAGGTCTGGTCAGTCAGTGCATATTGCCGAAAACTGTCAGGAGAAGTCAGAACATGCGATCTGAGGTACTGCATAGAACAAACACAAATCACTCATGTAAGACTGACCTATGCAGACCCTCACTCATGACTGTCGCATTAACAGACAAACTCTTGAACAAGAACTGAGCAAGAAACTGACCAAAGCAAGCCCTCACTCATGACTGTCGCATTCACAGATAAGCTCTCAAGCTGCCACAAGCGTGACCCATGAGCAGCTTTATGCAGGTACAGGTTCACACGTCTGTGAGCCCATCCAGTCAACATCCATAGCTTCATTGGCGTGGCTAGGATGCGACTGCCACGCCCCCTGCTGCCTAACTCACTCACGTCTCTTGGAAACAGAGTTGGACACACACAAGCCCCGAAGGGCTCTGTGCAGTGTTGATAGTCGTTGCGCGCTGTTTTTCTTCACGGATTTTTGCATCGAAACGTCTTGTTCTTGGGAGATCTAGGAAAGTGGGCTACGAAACTTCAGGAAACGCAGTCTGTACACTAAGTGTAATTCGACTTCGGCTTCTTCTGCATCAGAGTCGAAGTACATGCAACACTGAGTTGCAGTTTGGTATGCAGCATTGGCCAATGACACGATACTCACTCGCAAACGCTCCTGTGCTAGGTCTACCACAGCTCGCATCCACCGTTTGGAAATGCTGCCCAACATAGTGCAGGCCACGGCATTGATTTGAACAAAACGTATGGTGGTATGCAAAGACTGAAAACCCATGGTCAACTCAGCCGAGGAGGACAGCCGAAATTCTGGTATCCCACGATGCAAGAACGTGTACGCCACCATGGTTTCGGTTATGGGTTGTGCCTCTTCCGGGTCGTCATTTCGATCGAGGCGGGTAATGAATGTGATTCTGGCTCTGATCGGCAACAGGTACGTCAAGAAGTTCTCGAGCACGTCAGAAGCGGCCCAATCCATGTTGTTCAGAATCTACAAAGCTTCCAGACTGCTTGATACAAAACTCTATTACATGTCTGATGAAAGCAACTCACAAAGCCGCAGAACTTGCACATCCCTGACATGTCTCTCCGCACATTTCCTGGACAGCACTTGCACGTACCTCGCACGTCCCTTGCACATCACTTGCAATCCGCTTGCATATCCCTTGCTCATCATTTCTCTTGACACAAAGCAGCGGTGGACTCTTTTTAAACCGTCACCGCTCTCTTACTTTCGGTCTAAGACGTACTGCACAAATTTCAAAGTAGAAGAAAAACGCTTCCTAGGTCCTTGCTTTTCTTTAACAATGCGTTCCCCATGTTGTCTCAGGAAATCGAGAATAAATTGAGCTCTGTTGTGGATGAAGAAGTCGTCACCAAGCACTCTCGTGCCTTCCATTCTGCGGCGAAATTGGGCTCTGGGTGCAGGACGAATCTTGATGCGCGCACCATCAGAACCTTCATCAATCATACGAAGCTTGCGTTTCCGCGGCGGGTCAATCTTCAACATGTTGTTGTGTTCTGCAGCGGACCGGTTCGACTTTGGAAGCTGAACTGATCGACCAGGGGACATTGACGTAGACTGTCGGCCAAGGAACGATGACACATTCGAACTCTCATGATCAGGGACGAAATCAGCCGAATCAGGATCACTGACCAAAGTAACACCTGATGCCAAAGCTACACGTCGATCGTGTTCTTGGTCCGACACTGCAAAGTCTGACGAAAAGTCGGACGAGTGCACGTCCGATACAGAGGCAGCATCGCTCTCAAAACTGGACACCGACATAATTGGAAGCTACCTGTACGTTCCAAGTCTTTTTAGAATTGCAGAGTGCCTTGAGAACATGAGTCAAAACAGTGTCTGCAAACGTTCACAACACATGCTACCGGCAGATCGCTTGCATAACCCTTGCACATCCCTTGCGCATCACTTGCACGTCTCGTACACATCCCTTGCAATACACTTGCAGCAACACTGGCACACAGAGTCTTCTTTGCAACTGCTCACGTTTCACTCTGAGACTTCAATCACTGCTGGGAGTGTTGGGGGCAACTCTGAAGATTCTTGCTGCTGGAGAGAGTTAACACAATGGGAAGTCACAGATTGAATGGAATGCAAATCCGTCAGCAGGTTGCCCACCACTTCGTTGGTCTTCTGAAGTTTCTGAAACAGTTCTGTGATGGCAGACATGACTTCTGCCATCTGTGACTCAGTGTCCCTGATTTGTGTGGTGAGCACGTCGAGTTGGGACTGTTGGATCTTTTGGACGGAGATAGCTTCTTCCCGAAAGTGACGAAATTCACCTCTGATTGTGATCAGCTCTTGTTGTGTGTAGGAAATCCAGCGCTGAAGAGGTGCCAACGGATCACACGCTGAGTTGCTCGACATTGGTGCAATGGGGCGAAACTTGAGCAGGATGCTGCAAAACTGTTCTGATATGCATTGCAACATGAATGAAGTGATACTCACAGCACTTGCATCGGATGCACGTTCTTTCCTCACTGCAAAACTCACAGGTGCCACAGATACAAGCAAAGGTGCCGAACTTCTGTCACTCCGGACATACTTAGCTGAGATCAGACGATTGACTGCGTCGAAATCGGCGTGATTCACGCCTTCTGGTAGGCATGGGTTTAGATCTGATTGGAGTACCTGAAGTAGCTGAAGATGTAGGAGCAGCCGACGACGAAGCGGTACTCGACACCAAAGGAGGGTCAGGCGCACGAAGCACCACGCTTCCTGGCAGTGCCGGGGGGGGAAGGACGGGTGCAAAGGCATTGGGTGGGGGGAAATTGGGAGGGGGAAGCGGAGGAGGGAGGGGAGGGGGAGGGAGAGGGGGAGGGCCAGGGGGAGGCAGGGGAGGAGGTGTGGAGCTGGAAGACGGGTTGTCAATCACTGCGATCGGCACACTCCTCATTGCTGGCGAGGGGGATGGATGGGCATAGGGATGGGATCTGCAATTGCCACTGGACGAACGTGATCCTGAAGCTCCACTACTGCTGGGACGTTCCTCACGCAGATTTGCTCTATCCCTCTCATCCAAACGACGCAACTCTTGCTGCAGCATTCTTTCTGTACCTTCGCGCACAAATGCTGTCAATTGAAGTACAAGTGCTTGTCGAAGTTGAGGTCGTGATACAAAGTTGAGCAATCTCACACGCGCTGAATGAGTGAGCGTTCTCAAGAACTCATCGATGCTGGGATCCGAAGGTGGCACCGCCGACATGCTTGCTTTCAAGGATGTTCTCGTCTCTTAGCCAAAAACACTGCGACGTCGACAGCTGCAAGTCTCTCACAAATAAAGAACTCAAATGAAAACATGCTGCATGTGTGTCCGCTGTGAACAATCAACTGACTAACTCAGACCCTCTTTTACCGTTTCATCAAAGCTTCACACAGGTGAAATGGGTATCCAAGGTTCGCTAACCACCGCACAAAAATGTGGACAGCTACTTCAGCTTGACACGTTGGCCAAGTGTACTTGCGAATAAGGGAAATTCTCGACTTCGCGCCTGACACCAGCAATCTATCGCTACCTGCACTCATGGGATGTCGGACTTGCCAAAGGAACTTTGGCTGGAGATAGTAAACAGTTCGGTTTCGGACATCGATGTCAAATCCCAAAAAGAGACCATCACCGACCGCTTCAAGTACAATCGGAGAACCATAAAAGGTCTCTTGGCTGAAGACCTGAAAAGGCACTGTTTTATGCACTTCGGTGGGTGCAATCACCAGTCTGTTGTCCACATATCTTGCGAGAAAAGTGGAAGGGAAACTCGAGATCTGCGGGAACATTGCTGCCCAACCGAGCTCAGTCATCACCACCGGAAGGGAAGAGAGAACAGGACTGATTTGGTTACCAATTGACGTGCCATCAACTTGTTTCCACACTCTATTCAGCGCAACGAACAAGCCGCACTCAAAGCTGAGGCGAACAATGGTGACCAAGTCGTAAGGATCAATGGTCTTCCAATCGAAGTGCCGACGAATATTGGAAATCCTCCCATGGATGGAACGAAAATGTTTGCTCTTCTCACTGATGCAAACCGACAGTTTAACATCAGGGTGTCTGACAGTGAACATACGAACAAACATCTCCACTGCTTCCAGGATACGACTTTGGGGCACCGAGTTAAAGAACCCGACTAGATCATCATTGAGCAGTTCAAGTTCGGTGTCCAACGAACAATGCTTGAACACTTGATGAATGTGGTGCCAAATCTGCGGAACACTGCGTGACAATGAACCAGGCCATACTGTGTTGACCATTTGGTCAATACAGATCGCTGCGGCTCTAAGAATAAGGCCCAAGGCTGTATTCTTGTAGCTGATGATTGTTCGTCCTGACTTAAAGGACTTTTTGCGTTTGAGAAAGATCTGCCCCACAGGCAAATTGGCATCCAACTTGAATCCCCATGGGTACTTGCGAACCAATGAAGGCGGAATATGCGCACACAGAAAGAGCTTTGCTGACGACACAGACATTGGCATGGCTCTGAACACCTTGACATCTGACCATACACGTTGGCAGGATTGGAAGTAGAATCTAGGGCAAAAGACCATAAGATGCGTTGACTCGTGATCAGCGAGGTGAATCACCCATTCTGTACATACAATGTCCTTCAGCTGCAGCGCATGACCTTCCTGAAATTTCGGGCATAGGCACATATGACGAAGATGGAAGTGCCACTCATAATGAATGAACCGCTGCCACATGGGGAGAGTATGCAATGGAATAAAATGTGTCTTGCACCAAACCTTGTACGCGGAGGTCGCCTGCTTCATGTACTTGACTTTTGATGGAAAGACAAGGGATTTAGAGTTGGCCTGAGCAAGTTCTCTGAGAACCGGTTGGCGAAATGATAGCGTCTCGAGGCCAGTAGCCACATGTCCATCCACCAAATCCACATTTGGGTGCTGCTGCTGAAACTGTTGGCATCTGCATGGAAGTTGATCAACTGTTGTCTCAGCAA